GCGGGCGAATAGCGAGGCATCGAGTAAATATTGTACTATTGCGATTTCCCTCGTTGCTTTCGAAAATTGTGTCGGATGCTTTTTTAACCACGACAGCTGAGAGTTGTGCAACAATTGCTTTTTAAAGACAATGTTTTGGCAAGTGGCCTTTCAAAATCTTAGTCGTCGCAGAACACTTTCGAGCTGCTCGCAGCACGTGCACGGGCGTATGGCGTGCCCCATAGAGGCAAAGGGAAACATAGAGTCCAAAGCCGATTATAAAAGACGGAGGCGTGAAAGGATACATGGAAATCAACGGGTACGGGAAAACGAAAGTTCAAACGCGTCGAGCTAGTGGAGGCGAGTGGGCGCTTATTAAGCAATCGTCTCACGAAAGGACTCCACCTTCCTCGTACACCGGTGTGTTTCGAGGAAACGCGAAAAAACGAAAAACGCTTCCGTGATCTCGAATCTCTCGTCTCTTTTCTCGGTACGCACAGGGAACGTTAATTCGTCAAGTCCTGTTCGTCTGCTTCGCCGCGCATTTGCATTGTGCGCGACGTACCACAATTTTTTGTTACGTGCTTGTGGAGTTTGTACTTTTTCCTTGTCTTAGCTGTTCGGCGCAGGTTTTTTTAAAAGTTCATTAGATAACTGTGTCGCATTGTGATTTGCTTTTTTTCGTTCGTGCTATGTGCTTTTCATGCGTAATTGTTATGCGTGAAAGAGATGTTTCATTTACAAAAAACATCAATTTTGTCGATTCATTTAGGATGTAACTAACGAATATTACAGATAGATTGTTCATTACTAATTCTAGTATAAACGATTTTTCCGAATTCATCGGGGGAAACAAACCAAAACGTTTCACAATAGAACGATTAACGAGCGGAAAAATAATAATAATTCGAATCACAATGAGTGACAATGAAAACCAAATCTGTAATTCCCACGTGCAAGTCTTCGAACCCGATCTCAGCAAAGTGATAATATCCGCGCGTATAAACACACGTACACGCACAATTGCTTCCCCACCCCTTCGCTCCTCCGCACGGTACGTCTCCATCGCGCGTGTGCGTTTGCTCCGGGGCGCGGACTTCCTTTCCGCGAGCGGCGGCGGCGATCAATGGAGATATCCAGCGACAGCGCAAGGGGTCCCCGTGGACGTTTGTATACAACAGGGATATTTCAAGACCTCGCGTGCGTTTGATTGAATATTTATACGCGCCCCCCGGCCTGTGCGCGCGCGTGTTGTTTCGGGCATGGCACGATAAATTGCAGCGCCGCGCGTGATTTAGTGAATTGCCCGCGTGCGCGACCTTTTGATTCCGCTGTGCTGTGTACTCTGCGCTGTGGTCGGTTTGAAGGATTTTTCCTTGACTCTCTCTCTCTCTATCTCTCTCTCTCTTTCTCTTTCTCTATCCTCGAATTATATCGATTAGAGATTGTTTTTGACGGCGCGACGTGTATTTCGGCTGCCGCTGCTTAATTGGCTACGTTTTCCACTGGCCCTCGCGGCGAGTTCTTTGCGCGTGAATTCGAACGAAGTGAATACGAGCAACACGACCGTGCCAGCGAAAAATCAGGAGCTTCAAGCCGAAAAACGCGTAAGTTCGCAGTGTATACGTATCGTGGCGCATCTCACCTCTTGAGCGACTCGCAAATGACTGAACTTCATGTCGATGAATATATGAAGCTGGGGAAAAAGTCTGCGCACTCGGAGACGAGCGTTTCGGCTTTATGCTCGCAGGCTTGCAGACTATATATAGAGTCAACACTATTTGCGAAACGCGCATGTACAGCGAAATTAAATGCATCGATATGCCTTTGTGGCAAAAAATGTATGTATACTTCGTAGCTCAAGAAGCGTGTATGCTCAAGAAGTTTCTAACGGTGATAGCTATACCCTCCCTCCCCGTTCCAAATGTCCGAAGTCTCTCAGGAATGTCTGTAGAGACGACTGCGGTATCATTTTGCATTTTGAATATTACGATCATTCGTCTTACATATCTCAAAGCTCGCTAAGAATCTATCTTACTGTTACCGCGAGCGCACGGAAACGTAAACTCTCGTTCGCGCTGCCAACAAACAGTGCACCGAGAGAGAGAAAGAGAGAGAGACGGCTAAACATAGGCGTATACGCATCGTACTCAGGCTGCTCGCGTACAACACGTACGCGTATCCCCCCATTGACTGTCTTCAGCCTCAAGTTCTCGGCAGTGCTTTAGCTACCGGTTTCCCTCCTCTTCTTTGCCTCTTTTTCTTCGGGCTCGTGCTCGCGCGCGGCTTTTCTTTCCAGGCCAACATCCTCTCCTGCTGCTGTTCGCTTCACTTGGCGAGATGACTATCTTCGACTATACGCACGTGTGTATATTGAGAAGGCCTGCTACGATGATGCGGGATACGTAGCGTGAGTTTGCAAACTGCACGCGAGCGTGGATAACAGCTCGCGCTCCTTTTCTTTTTTTCCATTGCAGTCTTCGCGAAATGAAGCCTCGAGGCGTCATTGGAGAAGATCGATCAGACATCGGCGGGATGTTCGAAACGCGTTTGCTTGCCCGCTGTTCAAATGCATACCGAGGCTCGTTCGCTGTTTCGCGCAGCAAAGTGTTAATTTCATTACGGCCGAGGAAAAAAAAAGAAAAACTACCTGCTCGTAGACCAAACCATTACTATACATACTTTCCCAAGCAAAGCGCGTTGCGCACTTATATCCTCGTTTTTTTTTTTCTTCTTCCCTCGAGTCAGCTAACGCCTCGCTCTTAATCAGCGAGAAATTACGCGGTACAGTAACGCGTTAAAAGTACACCCTCGACTTCTGCAGTAAAAGAGAGCCAAGAGCGAGAAATAAAGCATCGCCTCTCTCCCACACTAAACAATTACGCGAGCGTTCTTTTCCTGTCTGTCTCCTTCTGACGGGCAAACAGAAGAAGGTCGTATTCTACGGTCTATTACCTTTCAATTAATGTACGGCCAAGTAGCTGCGGCAGCGGCGCGCGAAGAAAGGGAAAGATAAAAATGAAGCAGCGTTGCGTAGCACGCACACAACCGTTATGCACTTAAACGCGCGTAAAGACCGAAAAGCTGTGATCACGGGCTGACTGTCGTGCGCGCGGCTCGAACGCAGAGGCAGATCCGATATGGCAGGTGGTGTACGCATGTATACTCCGCGCGTAGTCCTTGGCCACGCTCATCCTCGCGGCAGATTTACGCAGGCGCGGTCAATTGCAATTGCGACGATATACGTTTTCGGGCTGCTGCTATGGTCGAGCACGAAGACGCACGCTGCAGGAGAGAAGTGTGTCTGTACACATGCCACAAACCCTCATTTTTTTGTTGTCCTTATTGAAAATATGCTACTTTACAAACATTTTGACCAATCACAGTTCATCAATTGTTCAATTGTTAGAGAGTTTATGTAATATTTATTCACTTTCGATAAATTGAAATTACGAGCAAGAAAAAATCGTTACATTGGGAGTAAAAAATAATTGGAATGTGTAAGAAATAAAATCTGACTTGAAATCAAACTCATTGAAAAATTTCAAAGCAATTGCTGAGAAGAACGCGTGAAAAAGTGAATTTAGTGAAATCTATGTTTTGACATGAAAAGTTATTTACTGCAGGAGACTACAGGCATTGCCTGCTTGGTAGGTCATTGTGCTATTTTTAAAGCGCGATGTAGAGGTATCAAAATTGACGCAATCGTCTTCTAGAAAATCAATTTGATACGAGCGTTAGAGTGCCAAGTTGATACGTATAACGCCGTTGTTTCTTGGAGGATGTTTTCTATTCGTTGTCGTCGAAGGATCTATTTGCGCTTGAAGCGTTTTTTTATTGAACGATACTATCATCATTGATAAGTCAATAGTTTGTCCGTCACTTCCGTGATACGTTCAAACCTGTTCATATCTCATGTAATCTGATGAATATTTGCTGTATTAAAAAAGTTGTTAGTATTGATCTACAATATTAAGCGACTTTTCTTTGCTACTAACATATTATTTTAGTGAAACTGATTGAACTATCCATGTCATCATTTCTTATGTAAGTTTTTTCATAATGCGATATAACACAATATTTCTTCGTATTTTAAAAGAAATATTTGTAAAAATATATGTTGTTTAAAATAACGTTCTTCTCGAGGCAACAGGCCTTTCCTGATACATAGATGGAAGTATAAATTTTCAATCACGAGGAAACATCTATGTTCCACTTTTTTAATATCTTCTATTAAAAGTAACCCACAACATTGCACTTAAATAACCTAATATACGCTTCCCATCAAAGTAACAGGCAGAAAAAAACTTTTATACAAGCGGCGCAATTTGTGCAAAAACAAAGAAAACTCTCAGCAATTTATTTTTTCTTCTCTAAAATGCTTGTTGCTCAGGTCTTTGCATAGAGTGTGCACGACGATGAGGCGTGGGAGATGATACGCGCGTTCCGCTGTGCGAAGCGCATCGAGATTTCACGCCAAGCTTACGCGTGGAATATTCATGCGAGGCCTCTCCTTCTTCATTGTTTTTTTTTGCTCGAATTAGGCCCGAGTGCTTTCTCCCCCCCCCCCCCCCTTTCGCGCGGTCGTAACGAGGCGCGAGCGAGCCGCGAAAGGTGAAATCGAATGGCACAAAAAACAAAAATAATGACAGGATGATTGCTAGGAAGGTGCCAGGAAAACACGTAGGTCCTCGTCTATGTAGCGCAAATAATACACTACCGGGGCGGTTTAACAATTCATAAAAGGTAGCGGTGAACGTGCGATAAGAATACATCTGGTTTGCTCGCGCGCGTCGTTAACGACGCGCGTCGGGCTGAAGTGTTCGATATCGCGACGTCGAAACGTCGCCGGCCGTCGGCCGTCCGTGTCGCGAGGCAAGCGAGCGACTGGAAAACCACCCCGTTCGCGCGGGCGCTCGACCTTCGCACTCGCGTGGCGCCGCTGGGTGGTGGGCAGAGTGGCCGGCTGATCTACGATCGTCGCCAGCGCCACAGCGGTCAGTCGGTGGTTAACGCTCGTCCCGATCGCGGCCACGCGATGTGGCTGCTCTGGCAGATGCAACGCCGTCCATCGAAATAACAATCGAATATAGTCCTGGCTTGCGAGTTATTAGCGCCAAGAAGCGCTCCTCGAGTGTGCCGTCAAGAGGATGCAGCTCTTGTCGAGCTTCATGGCGAGACACCTGAAACGAGGGCCTTCCCTCAAGAAAGGTACCTTTCGCGCGCCCTTGCGTTCTTATTTTTCATCTTTCTATGAATTGGTCAATTTTCGCTTTCATTCGAAGGATACATCATTTTAATGGTTTGAAAGGATATCGTATTAATATCATTGGTAAAGATTTTATTTTGTCACAAGGGAAATATTATCTAATTTTCGTAATTTCGAAGCTTTATTTTTGCCCTTTTATTTTGTAAAGCTTCCGTAATTGAAGTTTGTTAGGAATTTACAACGCGTAGCTTTGTGCGAATGAAAACCAAACATACGTATACCAAAATACTCTTCGGCTTATAAAGGACGGAATAGAAATGGATATGGAGGGTCGGAAAATTCGGTCGCGGTCTTACCAAAAGGAAATGATGTGCTATAAACAACAGGTCGCAATGTTTCTTCTTGCATATACATCTTGCAATTCATCTACACACACGAAACTCAACTCGTTTGGTCGATATTATTCCACGCTTTTCGAACGGCATTTCCCATGCGGCACGCGATCCTTTACATGCTACATACATGCATTGCCAGCTGGTATGCATTGCAGCAGTAACGACGAATTTTTGTCAGTAATCGAGGAGAAACGTGGAAGTACACGCAGTTTTCCTTTTCCTCTCTCTCTCTCTCTCTCCCTCTCCCTCTCCCCATCTGTATCTCTCTAGTTCATCGTGAAAGAGAAATGCATAATGGATGAAAAATAAGCACAGTGAGTCAGACTTTGTCTCTTGTCGCATTTGTTTGACCGGATGTGCAATAGATTTTGCGAGTGTAGTTTTGTTGACTTTCGCGCGCTCATTAGGCGGATGCATCAGCGAAACGTATGGATTCTTCTAGCCCCGTATGCGTGTTATTTTCACAGTGGTAGGTGAATATTAGCAAAGTGACAAGTCAGTGCGTATATATGACGAAAATCTCCGGTTGACGAGATGTTTCGCCGAACGCTTTCTGTTTTTGAACGCCGTGAAGTCGGTCGTTAACCGCCATCATCCATCAACTTATCAATCAAAATCAATCTTCAAAATTCGATCAGATTAACGACGCAGGCAACGCTTTAGAGAGCGAAGAGCTAAACGTTCATCCCGCGTATTGACGTTGATGCCGGATTAGATTTTTATCGTCCCTCTCTCTCCTGTCGGTCTCGCCGCAATAAAACACTCTCTCGAGTCAAGCGAGAGAGTGACCACGCGGTCGCGACTGACCACCCCGTTACAAACTTTCTTACTTCCTCATTTTTTGTTTCGCTCGCCCCACGACATACGGAATGACCTACATATCGCCGCGGTAATTTAACCAACCTATCTTACGGCGACGTTATCTTTTTCGCGCAAGAGGGCTTTGTTAGCATAGATAAGAAATATATTTTATTTTGTTTTGCTCTTTATCGCGGATCTGCAGAAAAAGAATCGAAGAGGGTAGCTTCGCGATAAGGTAGCCGGCTTTTCCTCGTTTAATGTTTAAAATGAAAATTGCAGGCTTCGAAGGGTTGCTCGGGATAGATCTAATGCGCAATTTGGCATGCAACGGATCTGGGTTAACTAGCACGTGTGCAATCTTATGTAGACGAGTATACAAAATCAATTTTTTTTTTTTCGTTCCATTGGACACGCGCTTCGGTCTATTTTTTTTTTTTTTTTTCCTTTTTTTATCTGAGAGATCACCACTGTTAACGTGCCATTCAATCTGCGATGGTGTATTTACCTATGAGTGACCTATTCACGAACATTTTTATTACTCTCGATTGTGATCTATTGTTTACGATCTATTGTTAACTGTCGTTAACGTTTCAATAGAAAAAGGAGAATCGTGCAACTCACTTATCTAAGACGTCATACTATTCGTGAAACAAAAAACTTTTTCGAGCGCGCGCTCTCAGCCCACGACGTTGCATGTCCAATTAAAAATTTGCGCGCTCGACTTTCATTCGTCCGAGCCCAATGCCTGCACTCGAGAAACAGACCAGTTGGCTCGACGCGAAAGAGTAGGTTCGCCGAAAAACCAAAAAAAAAAAAACAAAACAAAACAAAAAGAAAAAACAAGCTCTCGCTAGCTCGATATACATTCGAACGGTTGCATCGTTGTTGCATCGTCCTCGATTAAAAGGGCGCCGCAAGTATGTGCTCGTCCTTCGTTGGTCGAGGACGCGGTCGTCGAAACAAGCGTTGCCGCGTGATCGCGAGTGTCGCCGATGCACGTCATCACACGGTCTCGTTCCTCCTTGCGAAAAATGCGCTTCCGTAATGCGTTTGCCAGCGTTGCGACTATTAAGGGAAATGGTAAAAGAGCAGAAAAACAATGCGCGCATTGTTGCAGGGAAACGAGAGAGCGGACTGAACAGTCCCGTAGGCGGTCAGCCGTCGCCTACCGGAGGAACAGCAGCGGCTATAAAGTCCTTGGCCGAGCTACCGGGACCGTGCAATCTCATTCCACTCGCCGGCAAGATGACACCCGACGATCCGGCGAGCGACGACGAGTTCGCCGTTGCCGTTGCGCAAAAGTCACTGGTAACGTATATCATTACAAGCTAGACCGATGCGTTCGAAGGATGTCGCGATGCGCCGTGGTCAGTGACCTTTGCACGACGCGTGCGATTATCGCCACCACGAGCGACGAGTCGTCCCGATGACGATCGCCGGCTCCGTTGACAATTCGCCACGAAGGCAAACGCAATCCACTTGGCAAATCAGCGCGTGCGATAAGCCCTTTGCGGTTACGAGGCGGGAGGGGGAGGGGGAATACGTGGCGTAAGGCCAAAGTGGAGCATCTGTATCATCTCCTATCGATTTTGCGCGCTACTCGCGAGCTTAAAAATAGAGAAAGTAATCAAACGCCGTTGACAAGAATTAACGACGGAAGTGCAGTTTTATCGCGCGCTGCTCGTTACCGTTGGGCCGGGTGTGTTCGCGGTTATGAAAGCGCGATGGAATTATTTCGCTTTGCTTCGAATGCACTTTTGGGAAGAAGAAAAACAAGAAAGGAAAAAGAGTGTCGAAGATGCGGATACACAACGACCTTTTTCTTGAACGTGGTTGATGCGCGTATAAAAATAAAACGCGCGCTCGATCGACACAAAAAATTTTGAAGGTTGCAGGCACGCTCCTCGCAAACATAATGATTATCGATAATCCACTATTACTTTATTTTGCTGTGCTTCGCTCGCAAGGATTCTCCCTGTAAATAACATCTTTTATGTTCTTATCTGTTCCCTTACACTTAAACGATGTTCTTCTCATCGTCGACGCGCCCGTTTACAAGTAAAATTTGTTTCGCGCGCGCGTTCGTCTGCGCAACAGCCGCAAAACATGCAACAGCACAGATGTAAAATCGAAGCCTCCCTAAAAATCGAAAGTGAAGGGAAAAAGAACGAAGCGCTAATCCAGCTTCCCTTCCACGGCAGTCGGATTTCCAATTCATACGTAAAGACAAACGAAAGGGAAAAGCCGAAATCCATTGCTGCCGCACGCTGCAAGGCCGTTGACGTCGTCGCGGTGACGTTGCAGGCTGATTTTTCGGACGCGGCGACGACACGCAACGTCGCGTGCGTGCGGCGTCCGCAAACTACAACCGACGCGCGCACGCGTGGGGTTGATTTCGCGCGAAGGTATAGCGATCGGTGTATGCGTTTTTTTTTCACGCGTTCAACGTCAAAAGACGGAACGAACAATACGACGCGCGCGTGTGCGAACGAGACTATCGAAAGGGAAAGCGCATGAAAGTTTGATGGATTGCTTCTAAAACTAGAGTACGATAACTTGACGTCATATATATATATATATATATATATATATATATATCGATGCGGGTCGTCGCAGGTTGATTTCTTTGCTGCGTGCTCCCAACAACGGGGAATTTCCATTACACGCTTCTCCATAAAAATAGCTATTTCCTTTTTTTCTTCTTTCCATCCGTGGCGCATCGAGGCTCGAAAGTAGAGCGTGTGGCATTGTGGATCTCAATAAGAACGAGCGACTCGCTGTGCTTTCTTGTCGCTGATTAAATCGATTCGAAATCGAAAAGCTTAATTGAAAAAGAAAGAAATTTGTTTTATTGCAGCGTGACACCGAGGCATTGCGCGGTGCATTGTACCTGGGCGTAAGCGTAACGATAGCATGGCTTGTCGGAGTGGCAGGATTGTCGTTAGCTTGGCTGATGCTTGTCCTAGCATTGGCAGGTAGCTTGACGAAAGCTCGAATATCGCGTCTGCTACAAACAGCCCTGCAGCAGGAATTAGCTAGGTTACGTAGACGACGCGCGCTTTACAAGGACGAAACTGCCGAATGGCTGAGTCTACTCATCAACAAGTGGTGAGTTGATAAGTAAATGTAGGCACAGACATTAGCGTCGAGGTCGTCAATGAATGCTCGCTTCGAAGCGCACGGCTTAATTGAATTTAACTCGCTCTGCATTTTCTCGTCGTCGAACTTTGGCTTTTAACGATAACGTGTGAGCCGAAGTTGCGAGTAACAGATCTTTTTGTGGCTTCGAGATATAATTCAGGCAATAGAGCAAAATTCGCGTACTTTTTTTGGGGCAGCACGAAATTTTTATCACGGATAGTTAACATTGAGTGTAATTCAATGATCTTGTTTAGATCGGAAAAAAAGTAATGTTACAGTCGCGCTATATGTTTTAAAGGCACTTGCCGAATTTTTCGAGCGACTCGAACTAGCGGCGTTTGACTTCCCCCACCACTACGCGGCACAAAATATTGGAAAAATCATTGATTCAGTTTACGTATGGTCGTAAATTTAATGTACATATAATTGAAGCAAAGACTAGACATTTCACAGTCAAAAGAACCTTGGCTTTCCGTTTAAGATCGTTTAAAAAATTTTTCGTTGCCTACATTTATTATTTAACAACAGGACAAAAACTTTAACAATCTGTAACTTTTTTATTAATTAACAAATTTTGATGTTTCTTTTTCATTTGAAACTCTTTTGGCCATCTACCGATATACATTGCAAACCATCAAAAAAGTCTTTTAATACACAGTGAATTTAACTTAGCAACTAAGCAATATTAAAAAAAAAACATTGTCTGAGTCCCAAATTAAATTTTTTTTGTTTAAATCGCAGTTTTCGATTGGAAAATCTAGCAAGTACCGATAAAAAAATCGGCGTCACTTTGGTTAACAATCCGTACCGTGGACAAATTTGTTATTAACCGTCTGAAAAGGTTACAATTAAACTTAGAACTTGCGGTTTCAAAGTTCATAATCTTTATGTAATAAGACATACATTGAGGTATACGGAAAGCCTCTATGATTAAATATTTACGATAATTATTAAATAAACAGTTGGCATTTTTGTGTTAATGACTTTTTATTTAATTAACATGTATTAATTAACGTACGACATAATACTTTTATAGGTCTTGCCGAGATGAACAAAAAACTATAAGACCATTTTTCGATTAAACTGTTATGAAAAAAGATAATACACAAAAACATGAAAACAAATGACATTTTTTTATACGACTGGTTAACAATGTTCTGCACCGATTTCAGACTTTGGATGAAGATATATTATTACACTCAATATTAACTATCGGTGGGAAAAATTGCGTGCTGCCTCAAAAAAAAATACGCGAAACGGTTTTTGTCGAGCTCTATTGTCTGGACTAATATACAGTAGAAGTGCTGTAAAAATTACCAGTTTATCGTCGACTGTCGTATAAAAAGTAGAAATTTTATATTTCAAAGGTGGAGGTTTAGCGCCGCGAGTATATTTTCGCATGCGAAGGAACGGTTGGAGCCTCTGCTGAACGATGCCAAACCAGCGATATTGGGTGAGTAATTTTGGTAAACTGACTTTACAAAAAGTTTTCGCTCTCTTCTTTTGATTTGAGTGTCAAAAATAACAAGCGTCATATAGCGAACTAGGAACAAGACGTCAGAAAATACCAAACTTCATTAAATAACAGTAAATAAATTTGTTCTAACTCTATATCTACCAACGTCTGCTATGGAATTTCCGCATTTGTATAAATAGAATAAAAAAAGACAAATGTCATAACTGTAATAACAGCCCGAATTTTGCTATTAGCGCTGCCTATTAATTACGATCGATATTCTTCCTATTCCATTGAAACAATCGTTGACGGTAATCCGCTTGTTATCGCTCGAAAATGACAAACGTGCCTCGCTAAGAGAAAAGTAAATTAGCAAGCAACTGCTCGATAATTAGCGACAAAAACAAATCTTCGCTAACGAGCCTACGACTTTCGGCCTGAAAACAAAGGGTCGCTGGAGTTGAGGGAACTCACGTTGGGGGAGCAGACACCCTGCATCACGAGGATTCGCACGCTCGATTTCAATGGCGACGAGGACTCGGCCTCTAACAACGGGGGCAGGTCCACCTCGACGAAATTGTGCGTCGAAGCTGATCTCAATTTGGACTGCGAGCAATTCCGCATGCTCATCGCCACGAGGCTTTTCGGGAAAGGGTGAGTTCCTCCATTTTTCTCTTCTGTTTCGTTGATTTTCTTAAATTGCACTCACTTACCAGGAAGATGCTCGTTTACTATTTATAAGTATGAGTATTTTGAGAAGCATCACGATTTAGCTAAGAATTTTATCTTTATATGATAGTGAACACGTGCGTACACGTGGATTATACACGTTATAAAAGTTACACCCATTAAAACTTGAATGGCAGAAACTCGTCACGAGTATGATTAATCTGTCATTTCAATCCAATCGCCGCTGTTATTAGTTGCGTACATAGGGCGTTATTTGTTGAAATGACTGCTTCACTTGGTCGTGAACAGGCTTTTTACGAGCGATTTAGTTGAAGATGTCATCAAAATTTACAACTGAGATTACAGAACTCCCGACAACAATGTCGCGTATTAAAAACAACGTAGGACATTTCGCTGATGACGTGCTTGCGAGTCGGACGCACTTACCTTCCATATCGATCAATTTAATGCCACTATACTCGTAGTCCGAAAATAGATAAGGATAGATAAGGACTTGCCCGTCGTGACAAATTTATAAAGCAATTTGTACGTGCGTTTTTTGAAGAACGATTTCGACCATCTGCCACTGTGACATACTAATAACTTATTTGAGCGCTTGCTGGTATAAAATTAGAATGTAAATCGATCGGAGCATCGTCGATAAAGCCGATAAATTATCGTTATTGCTACGGAAACTTCTTGGCTTCATTGATATCGAGATCCGCCACGATAGCAGATACTTTGCCTTCGGTCTTATCGCACGTGTGTCAATTATAAATCACGTTGCATAGCGGGATACATACGTCACTTTTATAGTTCGCCCGACTGACCGGCGTATTGATTGCGCACATTCAATGAGAATGGGCCTGTCACGCTCGCGTCTAGATAGCTTTCCTCTTTGGCTCGGCATAATTCTCCTCGGCAGCGAAGGTATCGTACGGAATTTTCATCGCTATTCTCGCGTTATCTGTCGGTTTTCCGCGCGAGCGCAGAAAAAAAAGAGATTATTGGTAGCGACTCTACCGTAGGTTCAACATTTTCAACATCGTCACTGTTATTTTAGTCTCAGCATTATTTTGTTATGACTGCACGTCATTTATCGACGCCGAATGTTTTACTCGTCCTGCTCAAAGGAAATTTATAAGCAACTGCGTATATCCAAGAATTTTGAACTCACCTGTCACTGAGCCTAATTCGATTCATTCTGTTCGGTCTGGCATTTTGAATAAAACGGGCGACGCAGGTAAGTTATGATTTTATTATTGGTGCCCGTTTGTATTGTACTGTTTATGTACTTTCTTTTTAGATGATACAAACGAAAGGGAGTATTACGACTGTGGAATATTTATTACAAGTGCGTATGGACGATTCATGATAAGAAACAATACTCCTACAACTTATTGAAGCTTTAATATTTCAGTTGATAGGGGATCGTCCAATAATAAAGTTATTTACCGAATGTGTCTCCAAATATCGCTTTCGTGCGATCAATATAACGCATCGTTGCTGCAAGAAGGCAAAAGTTTAGAATCTTGTTCTCGTTGCAGCACCGAACTGTGCAATTCATCCGATAGCTTGGCTGCTCAACTTTGGATCATAGTGTTTACTCTTTTTTGTTACTGTAACAGATCCTTTCAATAATTAAATTGAATAAATTTTGTATATATTTTTTAATATATTTAAAAAATTACTGTGTCGCTATCGTTTATTTAACCTGGTCACATTACATTTATTTGTGATAAATGTTGATTTGAACAAATTGATTTGATTAGAAAAGGTCCACGTATGTGTATACCAAGATGAAAATTTATTTTTATTAAGCATTACTAAAACGTCGAAGTAAAGCCAAATCGTTTCCAACCCAGGAGACCAATTGGATGGTGTAAAATTGCACGATGACTGTACGTAAATATGAGCCCAAATTTTTTCCACCTGCAGAGTGGGCATGGACATAGACCTCGCCGTGGAAAAGCTGTCGGTTTCCGGCACAGTGATGGCGTCGCTGACATTGGACGCGAACTCGCCATTCCCACATGCGAGTCAGCTGAGCTTGAGTTTTGTGGAGAAGCCCGACGTCTGGTTCAGCGTGCGTCTGCTGCGATCCGTGCAGATGATGGAGGTACCGCTGCTGAAAACCTGGATTCACGCGGTGGTGTCGGACGCGCTGGCAAGTTGGCTGGTCGACCCGGGACACCTGGAGATCGATCTTCGCGCGCAAGAGCGACCGGGACCTGGATTTGATTGCACGGCTAACAGCACGCCGCAGGCGGTACTGACCGTGACGCTCAGTCAAGCCGGAATCGCGCGTGAGTATCAAAAGTCAGGACAATCTTGCGAAAGTGTTCCCTGGAATATTAGCCCGTAAAAGCGAATCCGTTGTCGCGGATAAAAAAAGCAAGGCACCCTTACAGCTAGCAACGATGAAGAGCGATGGCTGGTGGTGACAATCGGCGAGCAGCGTCGCGTCACCTCGGCCTTAAGCGCCAACTGGAGCGAGGACGTGTCGTTTTTGGTGGGAGCTTTGGACAACGAGCGCATCAGCATTAAACTGAAGGCCAAGCGCCTCGTCAGCACCATCACCCTCGCCCAGTTCGAGCTGGCCCTTGGCATTTACAACTGGGAGACGTCGCAAGTGTAAGTACGCCGAGTGTCATGAGCAACGCCACCGACTGACCAAATGATCGATGCGTAGAGTGGAGACGGTGCTGCAGCAGAAGAAGCCGTCTCGCAACAGCACCAGCATTCCCAACATAAATGCGCGCCTCGAGTATTCGACGCTTCCAACTCTCGAGCCGGACGCGCCGCAGCCAAGCATTCCCGACCCGATGGAATCGCATACTGCTGGTAATTCTTTTTACCCCTTCTTCTTCTTTCTGCTCTTTCTCTCTCTCTCTTTCTCGCAGGAGCGAGTGCTTTTTCTGCGAGCGCCAATGTACTCTGCTTCTCCAAGGGAAAATTGCATACCTGGCAAAAGCGAGAGAGAGAGAGAGAGAGAGAGAGAGAGAGAGAGAGAGAGAGAGAGAGAGAGAGAGAGAGAGTGAGCTATCGATTTCAAGGTGACCAATTTTTTGAGATGCTTTATGAGCTCACGTTCTCGTCTCGGTTTTTTGTTGCTTTTGACAGGTGTCCTTGTGGTTTACATACATTCTGCGGAGAATCTTGGCAGCGATACTTCGCAGTGCAATCCTTATTGTTTGCTTTTCAACAATCGCAAAAAGGTTGGTGCTGAACAGCAGCTATCGTAATTTTATTATTGAATTTGTTGTTGATGCGTTTTGTGACAAAGGTGAATATCTAATTTTGAGTATTTTTACTGAAAATTTGCGCGGTTGACAAACAGTATCGTTATTTGACACATTCTTTTTTATATTAGTACCGATGACTTTGATCCAAACTTGCATTGATGTTAATGATTGCAATTTAGTCTGAAACATTTGTCGATTGCTATAGACATTCGCGATTGGTTACAATGTAAAGAACAATCCTGAAAATCACGATGAGAGATAAACGTGCGAGCCATCGTTCCACGCTAACACTGAATACATTATTCAAAGTGATGTGCGAGCGCCGAAATTGATTGAAAGCGCGATTGCAGGTAAAAACGACACACTACATTCGCGGCACAAACTCACCGAACTGGGAGTCGTGCGCGGAATTTCTCGTCCAGGACTACACTCAAGTATCATTGAGCTTCGTTATTTACTCATGGAATATTTCCAAGGGAGCCGACACAGACATGCTTGGTCTTGCAATGCTATCTCTTTCACCGGTAAGTTGCCGTTTTTCCGTTTATCTTTCTTCTTTTTTTTTTCTTCGTAAAAATTACACTCGGCTCATCGCAGTTCGTGTGTATTGTGTATCGATACGAGCCGCTCGTAATTATTGCAGACAATTAACTCTAAATCAATTAACCGAGATTTGGATAATCGTACGAATCTCCAGAGAGCTGGAACGTCTGTATGGTGAATCGAGACGCGCGTAGGCTAAAGTCGATATCCGCTCCGGTTTTTTGTAATGCTCCGACGGCTTCGTAGCGACTTCTGGGAGTCACGGTTTTTGAATAGCTGGTATCCAGTGTCGTGTCAAATCGACTTTCTTCGTCGTGAAATCACTGGATCTTCTCGCGGAGAGGATCTTTGTGGTTTGAATATTATACGAGCGCGATATGTTTGAACGCGATGCTAATTTTTCTTGTAATATTATCTGTGAAATATCCTCCGAAAATTCGTATTTCGTAAATTTTGTTCACATAAAAATGTAGTTTCCTCGAAAATGCGTGATTTGTTTATCGACCAATGCCATATAACTAACTTTTACCGAAACAACAAGTATCGCAAAATTGTCTAAAAGTGTTGATCTGTGACAGGGAATGAAATGGATAGTGCGAAAAGAGTTGACACTGAGTGGGTCGAGCAGCCAATCGACAATGACGGTATCGGTGCTGTTTCATCCGGTGCGAAGCGTACAGCAGATATCGTCTAGCCGAAGAAACAGCGTGAACCAGTTGGCCGCCGAGGACGAGCCCAAGAACAAAAGAAATAGCCTTCCGTGGATGCAGCAGGCAGTACGCGTTCAAGCAAAACATCGACGTATCGATCGGTGACATTACAAGCGCGTTGCTTCTTGCAGAAAATGCTGCTGACTCGTGACGCCGACACGGCGGCGTCGGACGTCTCAAGTTTACTGTCGACCGGCAGTGGTTTGATGGAAGTAACGCTTTTACGTGCCAGGGACCTCGTCGCCAAGGATTTGAACGGTTTCAGCGATCCCTTCTGCGAGCTCAGACTCAACAACGAGACCAAATACAAGAGCAGTGTGAAAAAGAAGACGTTAAACCCATGTTGGGATGAAAGTTCCATTATGGGCTTGCCGCGAAGCAGCGAAACTCTCGACGTTGTAAGTTGAAGGGTTAACTTGCCGTATGCCGAATTTCGCGTGATAAATTTGCTCTTTGCAATACAGGTATTGTGGGATCATGATACTTTCGGTATGAAAGATTACCTTGGTAAAGTATCATTGACTCTCGAGGAAATTCGGAGATTGTCGAGCTCCGATCAATCTTATTGGTTTCCTCTACGCGGAACCAAATCTGGGTCAATCGAACTAAAAATCAAAGTTCTGTCCGAAGAATGTGAGGTAGAGCCGTTTGTAACTTTTCTAGTCACACAATTGTCATTCCGTTATGTTAGATTGTATTAATTGAAATGTTTTTCAACAGACTCAAAGTACTTACGCGACAAGTACTATCAGCGAAGCCTCGACGAGACCCAGCGAGCTGCACGAAACCCCGGTACCGATAACCACGAATATCATACGAAGACCGTCCATGGAGAAATCGCGGATGAGGTTACACCTAGAGCCAGTTGTTCCGCCGCCACCTCCACCGAGAACTGTAACTTTGATCAAAGTACCTAAGATTCCCGAAAATCATTCAACGCATTCGTCGCCATCGAATAATCATTTGAGACATGCAAATCACACTCGTAAGTTTTTCGATTGGCAGGCAATGTTATTTACGAGGAATTAATACGATTCTTTTGCGTAGCTGGCAAATTGTTCGCAAAAGCCAAAGATTTTGATGAAAGTAGCGAAGCGTCAACGAATCATTGGAGTCGGAAGAGAAACGGAGAACAAAGTGATTGTGCCGACGAGACTGACGATTCGAAATCGAAAATGTCATCGAGTCATCACAGCTTGTCACCTAGCCCCGATCAAAGTTTTGGAAAGAAAACGCCTCAGTATAACAGTTTCCGTGCAATGAAACAAAAGGTTTGTGATATTGAAATGAATAATCGTGCCAGTAAACGTTTAATGTTCTGATTTGGTACAATTATTTATGCAGATGAAACGAGGCTTGAGACTACGGAGATTCCGTTCCGAAGTAAACATCGAAGAAAAGGAATCGAACAAAGGAGTAACATTGAGTTTGGAACCGAGAGGCAGTGAGTTGGACGCGACGGAGATAATGCAAAGCTCAGCAGTGCTTTCTCATGCAGTCTCTCAACCTGACATGCTTGCTCGACAGAGTCGCCACAACAGCCCAAAGCCCAAGCACCGGCAAAATGGTATTACATAAAAGTTTCTAATCCTTAACAATTTTTTGTTTTATTTTTTTTTGACGTACACTGTTATCAGTAAATCATGATATTAGTGACATTTACAGATGCAAAAGTTATTAACGGGTTACGAGAAAAATATGCCGGGGTTGAAGGCAAAGTACTTCAGGCACAAGGACTTCATGTGGCACACATTGCTCAACTTTACTGCCGCGTTAAATTTCAAAAGTTTGTATTTTATAATCAACCGAGCATGAGATGTATCCTTTATTCGTGGAATTTCACTTTTGTTTAGTTGCACAAGTCCAGAAAAAATGAATCACTCGATGACCGGTGGAAAAACTATCGCTAAATCGCGATTACTGCCCGCTATGCCAAATCCACAATTTTGCATTGACTTCCAATTGGATCACGACTCCATACCCAGGCAGTCGATGCTTGTTTTTGAGATTCGTAGTGCTAGTAAAGAATTGCTTGCCAGTAGGAGGATTACTTTGCACGAGCTTCTAGGTGAGAGCATTTTGCGTGATATATATCATTATTGTAAAGTTCAGCCCCTCTGACAGTTTGATTTTCGCGCTAATGAAATTGCACTTCAAAATCATTTTATTCAAGTTAAGATTTTTTCCAACTTTTTTAAGTCTTTAATGCTGTATTAAAATATATATTACTCTTTTTCAATAGATTTCTTTGTCCCTTCTAATGAGTGAATGATAAATTTTATATAATTTTTAAGTATCGGTTTTAAAAATAATAACACAATAATTAATTTTTAGGAGCATCATCAGTAACAAGCGAAGTTCGCACATGGCTTGCCTTGAATAATGGTGCTTCTCTCGAGATCCAGATAGCTCATGGGCGAGAAATTAAGAGATCGACGAAGAAATTATTTAGATCATGGTCGGTACATAGAATTGGAAAAATTTGACATTTTGCTGATAGATTTTAGATACTCATTTTGTATAATATAAGATTCAATTCAATCTTTTGATGTATAATTGGCGATAACGTCGCTATGTAAAATACTGAAGATCGTAATATATATTTTGGCCTATTTACCAGTAAATCAAATTCGAATATATATTTTTGATATCGAAAATTTGTTCTGGTTGCTAACTTTATTTGTAAAGCGTCCGAAACAGACTTTACGGTATTTATCGGTGTTTTTGCAAAACAAAGAAAATCAAATTTTATTTGAATTTTTATATTTAATTTTATAATTCGAATAAAATTAACAGTACAAAATTAAAATTAAGCAATTTACTATACAACATATTAAAACATTTAAAGAAAAAAGTAAAGTGACTTCATGGTTGTATTGAATACAATTGTCATAAATATTATTCTTTAAACATTCCTTATATGCCATTAATTTAATTTGATTTAATTACTGGCGACAATATAAAACATACGTACTATGATACCTTCAAATGAAAATGAATAAAGCGGAAATTATTTTCATATTTGTATAACTGGATATATTTCAGCAGTATACAATTGTAAGTTACAAAAGTATATAATTTATTTTAGACAATGAAGACCTTTATTACTGCAATATTAAATATTATAAATATATAACTTTATACTTATTATATATTATAAAACTATATCTTTACTAAAGATTGTAAAAAATATATTTAAAATATAAGTTTTCTAATAAAATGAGAGTATACGAAACGTATTTATAAATAATTGAAAAATTGAAAAATTTCTTATTCTTAAATATAAATTATTGAAATCTATATCATTTAAATATACACCTACATCGATAAAGTATCTTACCTTACATTAATTATTAACAAAAATTAGTACAAAATTGTAGCTCTTAAAAAATTTTATTGAAAACATATATGCCTGCATATGTAGACTGAATACATAAATTATAAAGCCTGATGTAGTCCAAAAATAAATGATTGAATGCAATGTCAAACATTTATTGCAATATGTAAGACTGCCTTAGATAAAAAAATATGCAGCATAGTCTCATAGCTTATGTTCAAGATGAAGTATATTTAAATGTAAAGAAAATATAAATTTAATTTCTGTATGCATTTCTACATATATTAAAAATTTATAATGTAATAAAAATAATATCCGTAAGAGATTAAAATAATTTTTTACTGTCTAATATCTCTTAGATTATTTATTACTCCTTTGTGTACACACTTGAAAAACCATCATTTGTAATAAAAAAATGTGTAGGACTTTTTACATGATCATTGATTTTATATAGCTATTGTATTAATTTTTTAGTAGTTTGTGTACTATAAAATAGATAATAAATAACAATTTTTTTGGAATATTCCAAATTTATTACGAAGCTGTGAAATAATACAAGTAATATTAATATAATTTTATATAATAAAACAAAACATGTATAACCTTAAATACTACTTGTGAGACATAATTGCTGTAATAGGCTTACTTATAAATTATTTATTTAGTGATGTTTCTATATTGGTCCAAATTTGTAATTTTTTAAAAATTAATAATGTTTAATTGAACATTGTAGATACTTAGTGTTATTGATAGTTTATAAAATTTCTTGTATATTTTTCATTGAAAACCTTTAAATAAAAAATATTTTTAAAAATATTAGTAAACATTTAATATATAATATAATATTATTTAATAGAACAATAGCAATTAATTCTGCATTTTATTGAAACTCAACTCAACATTCGTTATTTTGGACTAGAACATTGTAAAAATATTATTGCATAATGTAATTAGCTATAGTTATCAATCACATTATAATGTAACAAATATATTGTTAAAAAACAATTGACTTGAACATACCAAATTATGTTTGGAATAATTAAGTACTTAGCTTGAAATAAATAATGATACACGTTGCTAATGAATCTTATGTAAATATTTCTAGTTTAATTCTTAGAAAGTAGAAAATACGGTATTCAAAAAATTAATTCATACAAACAGTGAACGTAAACTTAACAATATTATAATAGGTTACTATCAAATGACAGAATTGAGATCCAAATAATGAATTTAATGACAACTGTTAATTTCTAATTTTTTTTTATAAACTGTATATCACTTACAATGTTCTGATATCATTGATTATATATTTGTCTTAATGTTGATACTTATATATGCATATTCTGACATGTAGTATTCAACTGACTTGCCACTGCAAAAAAAATTAATGATGAGTATGATTACTGATACAAAAACTACAATTAAATTTACCTTTAATCCTCCTTGATTGCTCAAAGTTCCTGCTGTGTTCATTGTTCTATCTCGTTCTTCAGCTAATTTCTGTTTGCGTTTCACAGAATCAATGTTTCCAATTCCTCTTCTTTCTTGCTCTGCTAAACGTCTTTCGGCAGCTTCCGCTTGCTGTTGACGAAGAGCATCCTAGACGATCAGGAATTGAATAGTTGTAGCATGTTATGTACGAAATTAAATGAAAATATAGTAAATATTATATCTTGTAATAAATATCTTATGTTGTTAGATATAAAACAATACCAAGCGCTGGACAAAATATTAATTAATATAATAAAATTTATGTATAGTAGAAATACGTACATTGTATCAATATAACCACAAAAACTACTCACTCTATCAGGTGTAATATCTTCATACGATGAACCTTTGCAGCAGTTACATAAATTTCCCATGTTTCGTTTTTAATATTAGCAACCAACAGATTATAATGGATAAACTAAAATATAATACAATGTAAAAACTGAATAAGATTAACCATAAATATGATATTAAGTAGATATTTTAAGGTAATAGTAGTAAGACCTTTTTAGATATATGTAAATGATTTTATAAATTTTTTAAAAACCTTTAATTATAATGTACGTAGGAGTTGCGAACGTATTCACAATTGTCAGTTGCCATCATAAAATGTTGGCATATAACATGACATGGCACGGTGTATCACGTTATACGATCGATATAGATGTGTAGCTCATTCAGTTAATACGTGACTGTACCACTAGAATTTTATGAAATTAAGCATTATTAAATATGAAAACTTAATACTAGTAACTTATGACTTATAACATACAAGTTAACTAATTTAACACGATTATTTACTAATCGTAAAAAATTATTACAAGACTAATAGGTGTTCAACGTTATAAATTTAGTGGCCCTGAAAAGGGCCGATTATGAGTCAAAGTTGATATTTAAGCACGTTCGCCACGAATACGTCTTGCCAGCTGAATATCCTTAGGCATGATTGTGACGCGTTTGGCGTGGATGGCACAAAGATTGGTGTCTTCGAAGAGACCAACGAGATAAGCCTCGCTAGCTTCTTGAAGAGCCATTACAGCTGAACTTTGGAAACGAAGGTCAGTTTTGAAATCCTGAGCGATCTCACGAACTAATCGTTGGAAAGGCAGTTTGCGAATCAGAAGTTCAGTGCTCTTCTGGTAACGCCGGATTTCACGAAGAGCTACAGTTCCAGGCCTGTAACGATGAGGTTTTTTCACTCCACCAGTTGCTGGCGCACTCTTGCGAGCGGCCTTAGTGGCGAGCTGCTTCCTTGGAGCCTTTCCTCCAGTAGATTTGCGGGCAGTTTGCTTGGTACGAGCCATGACGAGTCAGTAGAGCTGTCTTCTGTTCGAAAACTTAGACGACAATGAACGAATAAATTTTACTATGCTGCTTTTATGTATTTTTCAGCCGTCTTGTGATTGGTCAGTTTTGAAGTGGTGGGAGATGTCACTTACATTTGCTGTTTCATGTTGGATAGTTTCAAGATGGTGGGAGATGATACTCGGTAAAAACGTGGGAATATCATTAACGATGAGTAAGAACCGTAAGTAAGACAAAGACAGCAAGTGAGTCTGCTCTGATTCGCTGAAAATTTATGGAAGGGGGTATCACAAGCAAAGTGAACAAAACTCGAGATTTTCGTCAGTCGAAATCATTCTTTCATTTGTAGTAACGCAGTTTACTTCGATTTAAAATGACTGGTCGTGGTAAAGGAGGAAAAGGTTTAGGAAAAGGAGGAGCCAAACGCCATCGGAAAGTGTTACGTGATAACATCCAGGGTATCACGAAACCAGCTATTCGTCGTCTAGCTCGTCGTGGTGGAGTTAAACGTATTTCTGGTTTGATTTACGAAGAAACGCGTGGTGTCCTTAAGGTCTTCTTAGAAAACGTTATTCGTGATGCCGTCACCTACACCGAGCACGCCAAAAGAAAGACCGTTACTGCTATGGACGTTGTCTACGCTTTGAAACGTCAAGGTCGTACTCTCTACGGCTTCGGCGGTTAAAACTTTACCCTTCCCCCATTATAATCGGCCCTTTTCAGGGCCACCAATATTTTTTAAACGTTGAATAGTCTACTTGTTTTATTTTTCAACAATCTTATTTCTAGAATGAAATAAAAATAAAATGAAAAATAATCTATCATTAGAAAGGTTGCTGATATTTTAACATCAGTACATTACCAACTTTGTAAGATAAATAAAATTAAATTATTAAATGATTAAATTTAAATTATATAATTTTGAAATAAAAAAATTGAAAATCATTATTCAATGTATATATTAGCACAATATAACTAAATTACGTAACTTCATCAATTAAATTCTTTTATTTGCATTTGTTTCATAATTATTAATATTTTAACAAAGTTACGTGTTTGTATTTGATCTTTCATAGTATTGTCATACAAATATGCTATTTTTATGGAACTGAACAAGTTTTAATTTAATCGATAAATAATTAATTAGAATAGTACTGGAATTTAATATTTTTCTTAGCTGATACCAAAACTTCTTTAATTACTACATTTAGAATATGAAGTCGAATAGTAGGTGGATGCCATGAAATACTTATCCTACACTTAGTGTATTTTATTTGGTTTCAAATATGAAAAATACATAAAAGAATATTCCATACATATAACTAAATTCTATATTCATTTCCTATCCATACGATCAATACTTCGTTGAACCCGTCATCAAGAAGACATCTCTATATTTACTATGATCTTAATCTATTATTATATTTTTAATAGTTATTTTCTAATTGCAACGCAGATTATTTTGCTAATTTAATACTAGCAATTTTTTCAGTTTTCTATTGCGCATCGTCGCCATATTGACAGTATTGTCTTCCATGTTACAAGGTATGCGTGTAAATGGGTGTGTTATTATATATATATATATATATATATATATATATATATAACGTGTGTATGCACATGCTATTTAAATCCCTGCTAAAAACATAAATTATATTCTTATGTGATCTCTAAATTAAATATCCGTTGAGATAATTTATGTATATCATTACTCTTTAAGCTATTAATTGAAATAAAGTCGATCAAATTTATAACAAATATTAACCACTGATTAGAAGAAAAATGTAAACTAAAACAATTAGCATTTAAATATTTACATCAAAGAAATAAATTGCGAATTAATGTTAAATAATTAATTTATTAATAATAAAATCCATACAACGTATTTAAATATCTCCCGGGACATAAAAATAAACTTTCTTTTTTTTTCACAAATTAAATGGCAACACTGCTATAGCAGCGCATGGCTGACTAGCTGGGCAGCGGCTAATATCTGAACTTCTCAGTGGCAGGCTAGCAGCAGTGAGAGGCGGTAGCAATTATCATTAGCTTTGGTCGGGCTTTAACAGAATGTAAATGTTAGCGAAAACGAACATTATAAATGCTTTTTACTTGTTTTATTAAATATATGTAATCTTAGAGCATATGATATTCAAACGTGACATATGTGTTGATCATTTCATTGTGCTTTTTCTCATCTAGATATGTCTCTCGCAAGGTAATCACATTTACGTCTAACCTAACCTCAACCAGATACATCTTAGAGGATTCTTTTTAGCTTATATTTTTGGTGATATGATCATTTTCAGTTTACTGCCACAGCCAAGCCAAGTGGTTTGGGATAGAGACGATGAAGCACGCGAAGCAAAACTTCGCCAAAGGCCTGTTTCTGCTTTGGTCAAAGCAGTGGTAAGTGCACCACCTTATGGTCAGAGAAAAGGATGGATCCCAAGAACAGAGGAAGATTATGGAGATGGAGGTGCCTTTCCCGAAATTCATGTGGCTCAATACCCTCTTGGTATGGGGGCAAAAGGAAAAGAAACTACCAGCAATGCTCTTGCTGTCCAACTTGATTCGCAAGGAAAAGTGAAATATGATTTAATTGCTCGACAGGGACATTCAAAAGACAAAATAGTTTACAGCAAGTTAACAGACTTGTTACCATCTGAAATTTTAAGTGAAGATGATCCAAGTTTACAGAAGCCATCGCAAGAAGTTGCTGAAGAAACAACAGAAAGAACCAAGAGGGCATTGGAAAAAATTATTGAAAACAAAATTGCTGCTGCTATGCCTGTCAGACGTGCAGAAAAACAAGGTCCAGCTCAATATATTAGATACACACCATCACAACAAGGTCAAAATTTCAATTCTGGTGCAAAACAAAGAGTAATACGAATGGTTGAAACACAAGTTGATCCTATGGAGCCACCAAAGTTCAAGATAAACAAAAAAATTCCAAGGGGACCTCCATCTCCACCAGCACCAGTTATGCATTCTCCTACCAGAAAAGTAACAGTCAAAGAACAAAAAGATTGGAAAATTCCTCCATGTATAAGTAATTGGAAAAATGCAAAAGGTTACACAATTCCGTTAGATAAAAGATTAGCTGCTGATGGAAGAGGATTGCAACAACTGCATGTCAATGAAAACTTTGCTAAATTAGCTGAAGCTTTGTACATTGCTGATCGAAAAGCTAGAGAGGCTGTTGAAATGAGGGCACAAGTGGAAAAGAAATTAGCTCAAAAAGAAAAAGAAAAGAAAGAAGATCATTTAAGACAACTTGCTCAGAAAGCCAGAGAAGAACGTGCAGGATTGAGAACAGCTGCTGCTTTAGGTGAGTATAAATTTGAAACTTTTTTAATTGTTGTAACAGTTATTTTATACAGCTTCATTAATTTTATACAACTTCATTAATTTTTATAGATAAAAGCGAGGATATCCGCGAGCGAGAACAACTGCGGCAGGAACGACACAAAGATCGCGCTCGTGAACGCAATTTAGCAAGAGCTGCTCCAGATAAGAGATCAAGACTACAAAGGGAAAGGGAAAGAGATATTAGTGAGCAGATAGCACTTGGCATGCCAGCTAAGAATACCAATATGACTGGAGATCAAGCATTTGATCAAAGGCTTTTCAACACAACTAAGGGTATGGACAGTGGTTATGCTCATGACGATGAGTATAATGTGTATGACCAACCTTGGAGAAATAACAGTTCTATTGGATCACAAATTTATCGACCAAATAAAAACATAGATCAAGATGCTTATGGAGATGACTTAGAAAAATTGAAAACCACAAGCAGATTTGTACCTGATAAGGAATTCAGTGGTACAGATAGAACTGGAGCAGCTCGTTCTGGTCCTGTACAGTTTGAGAAAGAAGAAGAAGATCCATTTGGTTTGGATCGATTTTTGAAAGAAGCTAAAACTGCTAGTGGTAGTACTACAGCAAAACGAAAAGAAGAGCCTAAAAAGGATGATAAAGATGCAAAACGTCGAAAGCATTAAATTATTTTAAGTTTTTAAGTTTCTGTATGTAATTACAGATTAAATAGGTCTTTAAATTATAAATTGTAATTCATACAATTTATTAAAATATGTTAAGATATTAAGATATCTAAGATATAAATGGTTTGTCTTTTTTTGTTTGGTTATCATAAGAATACCAATTTAAATATCATTATACATTCACTTTCATGTTTGAAATGAAATTGCAATATCTCATAGTAAAAATTGGATAAAATTATGATAAAATGTAAATTTTATAGAAATATATGTTGAATTCTTTAATTAATGCTGTTTTTATTTTTGTAAAGAAAAACAAATCCATTAAATAGGAAATTACATATTTTTTATATAAAATATACTTTTTATTAAACTTTTATGTGCTATGTACATGTAATAATGAATATAAATAAATTGGTACATTATTCATGAATTTATTAAATTGTTTATTTTTCCTATTATACTTATTACTGTCTGGCTGCATGCTTGGATGCAAAAACTTAGCAGGAAATTGACAAAAATTGATATGAAGAATTATAGAAAATTTACGCGTGATTAGTAAAAGTAGTAAATATATTAAAAATTCCATGTAATTAAGATTTTGTTGATAAAAAATCTTTAAGGTTTAACACTTCCATATCAATAGAAATTGAATTTGCGTAACGTTTTAATTTGGTTTTCAAGTAATTGAATGTATTGAATTGTTACCCACTGGAAATAAATTACATATTTTGTATAGAATATGTACCAAATTAGTATAAGTTTGGTACGACTTTTGTATAAATTTTATACAAAACTTGCACGAAATGGTACAAATTTTGTACTCAATACTCAACATTTCAATAAATAAATAATACACACATATATAGATAAAATAACGTAAACAGTTTTCATAAAAGATGAACTATATATGGAAAATGAAAAAAATAAGACAAAATTACCAACTTGAGCGAGACTCGAACCCAAGATCTCCGTCATATGTTATAACTTCAACACTTTATCACATGCTACCGATGACCGTAGCTACCTTAGTTATTAATCTGAATGTATTTTACACATAATTCGAAAATTGTTCAATTATTCAATTATATTTAATGAACTATATGTTTACTAATAATAGTAATTAATTTCAAATTAACAATATGTGTGTGTGTACGTGCGTGTGTGTATGCGTGTGTGTGTGTTACTTTTTATTCGTTAGAAATAATTATAAGGAATTACGTATAAGTTCTTACATAAAAACTTGATATTTTTGAAAGGGAATATTTCGCAGATTCAATTTCTACTAATTTGGGAGTGTTCAACATTTGGCATTTTTTTATTAATAAAAACTAAATTGTGTATATTTATAAATGAGTGTTTATATCCTTGTCAATTAAGCGGTTTTTTAAACTTTTCCGGATTGATTTCGTCGATTTTCCGCTGAGTTTCTTCATTCCTTCTCGAGAATACATATGTATACATACATACATACATATATATGTATATATATATATATATATACACGTTTCATATAGACAATAATTATACATACATATATGCAAGCCAGCCTAACCTTTCGAAAAACATTGAGATTGAACGATTGAGTCGAGCAGAACGCTACATTTTGTTTTCAATCATGCATTATTCAATGAATCGTACTAAATACAATAAGTATTCAATCTAGTATCAAATTTATCTTAAATAAATAATTTAGTGAAGGATAAATACGATTCTTAATGATTACGTGATCTGACAATAAGGTAGAGATGGAATTTTTTTCCTTTCTTCATATATAATTTCTAATATTCATTTACTAACAATTTTACAGTATCAAAGAATTTCCCATGGATCTTGAAATAAGTGAACTTTTGGTGTTCTTATGTGATATATACGAAAGTGTAAGCGACGTAAATTGACCTGAAAAAATGTTCATGTGCTAATTGGAAAGGTAGAAAATACTATTCTTGAGTAGCTGTAGGATCATGGTAATAGATATGAGGTCTAGTTCGTCAACACCAAACAAAATGATTACAACCTGGCATCAACAGGTCTTTGCCCTTGATGCTAAATATAATTCACAGCGCGCTGTGAATAATTCAAGTCTGGGTATAAACAACTTGGTTTACTTAATGACTTTATGTTAATGTTATTTATTCATTAAAACTTATTCTTATGTTTATAGGTATGTTGTATATACGTAGAAGAAATCAATTATTGCGTGAAAAGCCTTGTAAAGATCCCGAATTACAATATCGATATTTAAAATTACGATCTGAACTTCTTCGTCGTAGGTATGGTACTTGCCTAGAGACATCAAGTTTACCTTCAGAAAAAAGTCTTGAAATTAAAGCAAAAGTAAATGCAGCAAATAAAAAGTCTACTGCAGAAAGTTTTGCTGGTGTTCATCATGTTTTTGACCAGCACTCAGGTGCTATTTCAATGCTTAAATTTGCTAATAATGATCGGTCACGGTTTTGTTGTGCTTCATTTGATGGAACGATATCAATATGTGAAGCAACAACTAACCCACCTAAAGTTGTTGAATTATTACAAGGTCATCAGAAAGGTGTTACAGCAATAGATTGGAGCATGAGTAATGATCTTTTAGTCTCCTCATCTCTAGATGGTACAATTAGATTATGGAGAATACATTCAGATTCCAAGTCGGATTGTTTAAGAGTTGTTGGTGACCAATTGAGAGCTGAAACTTTGTGTTGCACATTTGCTCCTACAAATAATAATTTAGTTTTAGCTGGAAATTCTCAAGGACTATTACAAATTTTAAATGTTTCTACGGGCAAATATACTCGTGGTGGTTCAGTTAAAATTGGAGGCAAAGTATGTATATTTTAAATTGGTATAGCTTATCTTTTTCTATTAATACAACAATTTTGAAATATATTATTATATTAATATGTATATTTTACAATTATATAATATTGAATTATTAAAGTTGTTAATAAATTTATTTTTCTTAGTTTTACATAGCATAAAGAATGTATATGTATCAAAGTTTATTATTAGTTCTTAAAGTGTTTTAAAAATTATCTTGTATTAACATTTCATGATACAGTATGTAACAAATATAATGTTCATATTATTTTAGATTACCGCACTTACTTGTGAGGAAAGTGGTGGCTTTTTAATTTGGGTAGGAAATGACAGGGGAATAATTATGTCATTTCGATTAGAATCTGGTTTAGGACGCTTAACTAAATTGCGAAGAATGGAAAGTACAGGAGGATTAGTATCTAGTTTGTCATGGCGTCCTTGGTTATCAAAAGAATTTCCATGGCCAACATTACTTGTTAGCAGTGCATGTAATGCTGCATTATTGTATCATGTATCAGATGAGCAAGGTGGTTTAGTGCTGTGGAAAAGATATCCAATTAAACATAGGTATGTTATGTACAAGTATATTTTTAATATTATGAAAGCTATATATAAGATGTTGTAATGTTATATAAAAATTAATTTTATTTTTTAATAAAAATTGTCACCAAAGAGAACCGTTATTTAATAGATATATTTTAAATATTACATATTTGCAGGCAACATATGATTTGTTCAACATTCTGTCCTCAAATTAGTACATCACTAATAGCTACTGGTTCCGAAGATGGTTCAATTCATTTATTGGACTCAGTGAAAGACGGAAGATCAGCTCAAGTAAATAGATTGCTTGGACATTCTGCACCTACTCTATCATTGTGTTTTAATTATGATGAATCTCTTTTGGCTTCTGGAGATCATCAAGGACTTGTGATTCTTTGGCGAAATCAACAAAATCAATTGTAATTTAATTATAGATATATATATTTTATAAATATATTTACCAATTATTTATTTATCCTTCCATTTAATTGTACACAATACTATCTTTATTATAAAATTTAATTTATTGATTGAAATACTATTTAATTACATTTAATGAAAAATTTAAATAAGATAATTTTCATAAAATTACATTATCACAATCAAACAAATTATAATTATGATTTCTACCAAGCTATTCATATTTTGGTTGATTTTCTTATATTCATATTTTACATATAAGTCAAATAGGTTAATTGAATAATTTATTTCATCCTGGTTATTTTAAACAATTTTTATATTAAATTCGTATGTTATTTAATATTTAGCACTATGTACTCAGCAGTCATACAATTAGGCAAGGTTTGATTTACGTTTGAAATATTGGTGGCCCTGAAAAGGGCCGATTAAAAATAGAGTCAAATGAGGTAGTCAATTTATTTAGAGCTAGTGTATTTAGTAACAGCTTTGGTGCCTTCGGAGACGGCATGCTTAGCAAGTTCACCAGGAAGAAGAAGTCTGACAGCAGTTTGGATTTCCCGGGATGTAATAGTGGATCTCTTATTGTAATGAGCCAAACGAGAAGCTTCGGCAGCAATGCGCTCGAAAATATCGTTTACGAAACTGTTCATAATGCTCATTGCCTTACTAGACACACCAGTATCGGGATGAACTTGCTTGAGAACCTTGTAGATGTAAATAGCGTAGGATTCCTTCCTTTTCTTTCCACGCTTCTTCTTATCACCCTTAGTGATGTTCTTCTGGGCCTTGCCCGACTTCTTCACAGCTTTACCACTGGTTTTAGGAGGCATCTTCGAGGATTGGACTGTACTAGACTATTCCAAACACAAGGAAATATTGCTGTACGATCATTCTGTTTTGCTTTTATTTCGTAAATGGAAGTTCCATCGCACCAATCACAATGCAGCTTTGTTGCAGAGAGGGGGAACGCAACATGTACCCTACTATTCAGTTAATTTTACTTCATGTGAGAGTGGGGATTAGTTTTATGAAGCTCATTGGTGCGCAGGACTATACGGGGATAGTATAAAGCCGTAAAAACGATCCCAATCAGAAACTTGACGTATTATTACGTACTTCGTGCTCTTTGACTTACATTTCGTGATCTACTCATCATGTCTGGACGTGGAAAAGGTGGTGGTAAAGTTAAGGGAAAGTCAAAAACCCGATCAACCAGGGCTGGACTTCAATTTCCCGTTGGACGCATCCATCGTCTTCTTCGTAAGGGTAATTATGCTGAGCGTGTTGGTGCTGGTGCTCCAGTATACTTGGCAGCTGTAATGGAATATTTGGCTGCTGAAGTTTTGGAGTTGGCAGGTAATGCCGCTCGCGATAATAAGAAAACCAGAATTATCCCACGTCATCTCCAATTGGCCATCCGCAATGACGAGGAATTAAACAAACTGTTGTCTGGTGTCACCATTGCTCAAGGAGGTGTTTTGCCCAACATTCAGGCAGTCCTCTTACCAAAGAAGACCGAAAAGAGCTCATCTTAAATTCCTACTCCTTACTACCAATAATCGGCCCTTTTCAGGGCCACCATTTATTTCATGACGTTGAACTTTTACTCGTTTATTATAAAAATATATAAATAAAAATAATATTGATCTGTAAAACTACACAAAATAACAATAACAATGAAAAAAGTTAACTTAGTAAATAAATTAGTTACTTTCTTATTATTATTTTAACTCTTACATATATTTCATTAATAAATGTATTTTATTATTAATCAACTTCAATTTTTATTTTCTTTATCCAAAAAAAATGTTCCTCCTACATCTTATATTAAAGGTAGTGTAACTTTCAATTTCAAATTGTTATAATATATTAACAACCTGCATATTTTACAACACATATCTAATTTCGAAATATTCTACAAATAGTTTGCAATAAAATGAAGTTTTTGTATAATAAAGTATTTTACATCTTTTTTTATAATTAATAGTAAGTAATACTAAGCAATTAGCCTGAATCATGATTATAATACATAAAATGGCGCCATTGAACATTGGTGACGTAAGGGTATATCTACAACAAAATATTCATGCTTCGTATCATTTCGTGAACAAGCACTGATTTCAATGTATTATTAAAAATTGTAGCACTAAATACAACACTAAGTATAATAGATGATTTCCACAGTTAAATTCATAAAATTACAAAAAATGTCATATTACGTTATCTGACGTCATAGTTGACGTTACTCTAATTTTACTGTAACATTAGCTTGGCTCCTGAAAAGCCGCTGCATGATGCATCCATGCTTCTCTTTCCTATACACGTTTACGGTAGTTGGTACAAGGTATAGGTTATCGTTGCGAAGCTCCTAATTATACAGAATTAGTTGCTTCTGAGAAACTTAAACCTTGAAAAGTTAAATTATTTCACAGTGTCCATACCAGTTTTGCTCCGCATTTGGGCAAATACGAACTTTTATCAACATCTTATAAGTGACAAACTCAACAAGGTATTATAGTGCGTTATTGAGTGGAATATTTTGTTGAAAGAGCAAGTAATTATTATAAAATATGGGAGGCGAAGAAAATGTAGGAGTGACGACAGGTCAACCCAACTTATATAAACAAGATCTAACTAAACTGAATGTGTCGAAACTTACGGCATTGTCGAAAGAAGTTATAAGTCGACAGGCAACGATTAACATAGGAACTATTGGTCATGTAGCACATGGTAAGTCAACCATCGTTAAAGCCATATCTGGTGTACAGACTGTGCGTTTCAAAAATGAGTTGGAGAGGAACATTACGATCAAGCTTGGTTATGCCAATGCTAAAATTTATAAATGTGACAATGAGAGATGTCCTAGACCAACATGTTATATTTCCGGTGGTTCCAGTAAAGATGATTCCTTCCAATGCTTCAGATCAAATTGCACAGGGCGGTTTCAATTGGTGCGACATGTATCCTTCGTTGATTGCCCTGGCCACGATATTCTTATGGCGACTATGTTGAACGGAGCAGCTGTTATGGATGCTGCATTATTATTAATAGCTGGCAATGAATCGTGTCCACAGCCACAAACATCTGAACATTTAGCAGCTATTGAAATCATGAAGCTGAAGCACATTGTTATATTACAGAATAAAATAGATTTGGTTAAAGAGGGACAAGCCAAGGAACAGTATGAACAGATTCTGAAATTTGTTCAAGGTACTGTTGCTGAGGGAGCTCCTATTATCCCCATTTCTGCACAACTGAAATACAACATTGAAGTCCTGTGTGAATATATTGTTAAGAAGATTCCAGTTCCCATGCGAGATTTTGAGTCAGAACCACGTTTGATTGTTATCAGATCTTTTGATGTTAACAAACCTGGATGTGAAGTTGATGATTTGAAAGGTGGTGTTGCTGGTGGTAGTATTCTCAAAGGTGTACTCAAAGTTGGAATGGAAATTGAGGTACGCCCAGGAGTTGTATCCAAAGATAGTGAAGGTCAATTGACTTGTAAGCCCATATTTTCAAGAATTGTATCTTTATTTGCTGAGCAAAATGAACTACAATTTGCTGTCCCGGGTGGATTGATTGGAGTTGGTACAAAAATTGAACCAACATTATGTAGAGCAGATCGTCTGGTTGGTCAGATTTTGGGAGCTGTTGGTGCTTTGCCAAAAATATTTATCGAATTAGAAATATCGTACTATCTCCTGAAGCGTCTATTGGGAGTTAGAACTGAAGGAGACAAAAAAGGTGCCAAGGTACCTAAACTATCGAGAAATGAAGTACTTCTGGTGAATATTGGTTCACTAAGCACTGGAGGACGTGTTCTAGCAACAAAAGCTGATCTTGCAAAAATTAGTTTGACGAATCCAGTTTGCACAGAGATTGATGAGAAAATTGCACTCTCTAGAAGAGTTGAGAAACATTGGCGTCTTATCGGATGGGGTCAGATACGTGGTGGTGAAACAATAGAACCATCTTCAAGCAATTAATTAAACATGCTATATGGACCGAATAATATAATATGCACAGTTTAATACGAATAAGTCATTATGGATATTATTAATAATTGTTTCTATCTTCTATTTATATTACCTATCAAGTTAAACAATTTTAAGAGAATTTTGATGAAACGATAAAACATTTTTTTCCGTTTTCAGACATATTTCTATATATATTACTCTTTTTTGGTTATCATAACTAATTTTTATTATTTTTATTTTCTGGTAAGCTATCTACATATTGTATAGTTTTTCTATCATAATATATTTAAATTAAATCATTTTTTGGATTGTGTTGGTACTCTAATACTTCAATAGGTTTAATCAGAAAGCATTTTTTGTCAATTAACATCTGATAATAATGAGTTATATTCTACATTCTTCGATTATTATGTTAAATAAGTGCCTGTAACACATAAAGTTGAATATCCAATAGCAACATTACTGCTCTAAGTTCATTTAAATTTTATATAAATAAGTTAAATTTTGAGCCATAGGTAGACACCTAATCAATTGTTCTTGTAATAAGTAAATTTTGTATAGAAATAAATATCGGACGATGAGATACGTCAATTCGAATTTATATGCGAAAAATTATTTTGTATTTAACCACATTTGCTTAATCATATCAGCAGTTAATCATAATGCATAATCATAATCATAATGCTTAATCATATCTCTCCAATCATGTAAACAACATTGGTATGAATAGTGAGAATAGTCGGCATAATTAAGGCATCTACGACTCTCAAAATGTCTTTACACTGTACACTTTCAATTGTGGATCTACGACAGCAGTTGGATCATCACTCAGTCCCATTTTGGCAGTTTTGATTTCGTGATTCATCACAGTTGATAACTGCCTGATGGCGCAATGCCAATAATTGTTGCTGACAATTCTAATCTCATGCAGCTTGGAATTTTTATATCATGCAGGTGAGTTCCGTAAGCAGCGAACGACCCCGTTTAGGATATGCTGGTCGCGTGCTTGATACCCTCGAAAATGCTTTCCACGTTTGACAGATGTTGAAAGAAGTTTGGTTGAATAATAGGTGCTTCCAAAAGATTCTTCGATTTGAACGTGACCCTGACAAAACTTCGTGGATTTTGAATGATAAATCAAATGAAAAACGTACCCTGACCTTCGACAGGCTTTTACACGTTATAAACATCACCGGTAATCGTCAGATTTTCTTTAATATGGTTCATTCCACTGTCAAAGTGCAAAGAGCCACTTGCAAAGAGTATAAATCAATGACGAGCATGGAATTTATTGTGAACCAAAACGCCAAAGCTTCGGCACTGTAAGCTACTCATATCGGACCCCCATTGTTAAACATGTATATATGCACACACATGTGGAGAATGCACCAGCGGTCAATACTCTATTTGACGATAGAACTACTCTTTGGTTGACCAATAAAATCAGACCTAGAAAACCTACGTGTACGTAAAGATTAAATCCAACTGGAAAGTCTTGGATTATGTCGATGCTAAGAAACTTAAACCTTGAAAACTTACGCAACTTTTATTATTTAATCTGTGAAATTCCAATGCTCTTTGACCATTTTCGCCTATTTTTGACCGATCCTAATTGCTGGTATATTAGTAGGGCCGCTAGTAATTGTTATTTACAGAGACAAAGTTTCCAACGCATACAGATTTAACAAGAATTTTCGTAAAATTATGCCGAAGGTGTATCATATTATAACTCTCAATCTGGGATCAACGACAGCAGTACGATCGTATATTTTAGGCTCTCTTCATCTAAGATCCAAGGGTCAGAAAATCGCGCGGTATTTTGCCACAGTCCGATATTTTGCTTTGTTCCAATTCTGTACTAACAATAGTTAAAAGCAATCTGACAATAGCGTTGATATGTCAGAGTCGGAACATGTAAACACAGTTGATTAGAAGAAAAAAAATATATAAATAAAACTAATGTTGATCTGTAAAACTACACAAAATAACAATAACAATGAAAAAAGTTAACTTAATAAATAAATTAGATACTTTCTTATTATTATTTTAACTCTTACATATATTTCATTATTAAATGTATTTTATTATTAATCAACTTCAATTTTTATTTTCTTTATCCAAAAAACTGTCCCTCCTACATCTTATATTAAAGGTAGTGTAACTTTCAATTTCAAATTGTTATAATATATTAACAACCTGCACATTTTACAACACATATCTAATTTCGAAATATTCTACAAATAGTTTGCAATAAAATGAAGTTTTTGTATAATAAAGTATTTCACATCTTTTTTTATAATTAATAGTAAGTAATACTAAGAAATTAGCCTGAATCATGATTATAATACATAAAATGGCGCCATTGAACATTGGTGACGTAAGGGTATATCTACAACAAAATATTCATGCTTCGTATCATTTCGTGAACAAGCACTGATTTCAATGTATTATTAAAAATTGTAGCACTAAATACAACACTAAGTATAATAGATGATTTCCACAGTTAAATTCATAAAATTACAAAAAATATCATATTACGTTATCTGACGTCATACTTGACATTACTCTAATTTTATTGTAACCTTAGCTTGGCTCCTGAAAAGCCGCTTCATGATGCAATCCATGCTTACTCTTTCCTATTCACGTTTAAGATAGTTGGTACAAGGTATAGGTTATCGTTGCCAAGATCCTAGTTACATAGAATTAATTGTTCCTAAAAAACTTAAACCTTGATAAGTTAAGTTATTTCACAGTGTCCATACCAGTTTTGCTCAGCATTTGGGCAAATACGAACTTTTATCAACATCTTGTAAGTGACAAACTGAACAAGGTATTATAGTGTGTTATTGAGTGGAATATTTTGTTGAAAGAGCAAGTAATTATTATAAAATATGGGAGGCGAAGAAAATGTAGGAGTGACGACAGGTCAACCCAACTTATATAAACAAGATCTAACTAAACTGAATGTGTCGAAACTCACGGCATTGTCGAAAGAAGTTATAAGTCGACAGGCAACGATTAACATAGGAACTATTGGTCATGTAGCACATGGTAAGTCAACCATCGTTAAAGCCATATCCGGTGTACAGACTGTGCGTTTCAAAAATGAGTTGGAGAGGAACATTACGATCAAGCTTGGTTATGCCAATGCTAAAATTTATAAATGTGACAATGAGAGATGTCCTAGACCAACATGTTATATTTCCGGTGGTTCCAGTAAAGATGATTCCTTCCAATGCTTCAGATCAAATTGCACAGGGCGGTTTCAATTGGTGCGACATGTATCCTTCGTTGATTGCCCTGGCCACGATATTCTTATGGCGACTATGTTGAACGGAGCAGCTGTTATGGATGCTGCATTATTATTAATAGCTGGCAATGAATCGTGTCCACAGCCACAAACATCTGAACATTTAGCAGCTATTGAAATCATGAAGCTGAAGCACATTGTTATATTACAGAATAAAATAGATTTGGTTAAAGAGGGACAAGCCAAGGAACAGTATGAACAGATTCTGAAATTTGTTCAAGGTACTGTTGCTGAGGGAGCTCCTATTATCCCCATTTCTGCACAACTGAAATACAACATTGAAGTCCTGTGTGAATATATTGTTAAGAAGATTCCAGTTCCCATGCGAGATTTTGAGTCAGAACCACGTTTGATTGTTATCAGATCTTTTGATGTTAACAAACCTGGATGTGAAGTTGATGATTTGAAAGGTGGTGTTGCTGGTGGTAGTATTCTCAAAGGTGTACTCAAAGTTGGAATGGAAATTGAGGTACGCCCAGGAGTTGTATCCAAAGATAGTGAAGGTCAATTGACTTGTAAGCCCATATTTTCAAGAATTGTATCTTTATTTGCTGAGCAAAATGAACTACAATTTGCTGTCCCGGGTGGATTGATTGGAGTTGGTACAAAAATTGAACCAACATTATGTAGAGCAGATCGTCTGGTTGGTCAGATTTTGGGAGCTGTTGGTGCTTTGCCAAAAATATTTATCGAATTAGAAATATCGTACTATCTCCTGAAGCGTCTATTGGGAGTTAGAACTGAAGGAGACAAAAAAGGTGCCAAGGTACCTAAACTATCGAGAAATGAAGTACTTCTGGTGAATATTGGTTCACTAAGCACTGGAGGACGTGTTCTAGCAACAAAAGCTGATCTTGCAAAAATTAGTTTGACGAATCCAGTTTGCACAGAGATTGATGAGAAAATTGCACTCTCTAGAAGAGTTGAGAAACATTGGCGTCTTATCGGATGGGGTCAGATACGTGGTGGTGAAACTATAGAACCATCTTCAAGCAATTAACTGAACAGGCTATATGGACCGAATAATATAATATGTACAGTTTAATAAGAATCAATCATTATTGATATTATTTTATGAATATTTTTACGAATTTAACTTTGGAAATCATCTATTATACTTAGTGTTGTATTCAGTGCTACATTTTTTAATAATACATTGAGATCAGTGCCTGTTCACGAAATGATACGAAGCATGAATATTTTGCTGTAGATGTACCCTTACGTCACCAATGTTCACTGACGCCATTTTATGTATTATAATCATGATTCAGGCTAATTTCTTAGTATTACTTACTATTAATTATAAAACAGATGTAAAATAATTTATTATACAAAAATTTCATTTTATTGCAAACTATTTGTAGAATATTTCGAAATTAGATATATGTTGTAAAATGTGCAGGTTGTTAATATATTAAAATAATTTGAAATTGAAAGTTACACTACCTTTAATATAAGATGTAGGAGGAACAGTTTTTTGGATAAAGAAAATAAAAATTGAAATTGATTAATAATAAAATACATTTATTAATGAAATATATGTAAGAGTTAAAATAATAATAAGAAAGTAACTAATTTATTTACTAAGTTAACTTTTTTCATTGTTATTGTTATTTTGTGTAGTTTTACAGATCAATATTATTTTTATTTATATATTTTTTTTCTTCTAATCTACTGTGTTTACATGTTACGACTCCGACATATCAAAGCTATTGTCAAATTGCTTTTAATTATTGTTAGTACAGAATTGGAACAAAGCGAAACTTCGGACTGTGCCAAAATACCGTGCGATTTTCTGACCCTTGTATCTTATATAGAGAGAGCCTTATGGGTGACCGCGAATGACGGGATGTACCGACGAAAATTCCAATGGATTTTAACAAGTGAAATCCTGAATCCTGTTCTCACTGAAAATAAGTATATAAATTTTGTACAAGACCTGTACGACATTTGTACTAAAATAAATACAAAATTTGTATAAACCTTGTGTAATATTCATACAAAAATCGTACATATTTTCTTTGAAAAAATGTGTACAAAATTTGTATAAATTTGGTACAAGTATTATATAAATAATATTATATGTATAAATTCTGTATACATTTTATACAAAATTTGCATGAAATTTGTACAAATGTTGTACTCAACAATCGACTTTTTCTTAAAATTTGAATAAATAAATAATATAGGCATATCATGAATAAAATAACGTGGACAGCTTCCATAGAATTTGAACCATATACGAAAAATAAAAAAAAATATTGACCTAACCGTGATTTGAACCGGAAACCTTCATATTAGCAGATTTGTAGTTTACCACTTTGCTATCAACGACTGTTATATATGTATCAACGTATTATTTTTTATTTCGTACATGCAATCTAAAAATTGTTTATCAATTATTCTATCGTATTCAACGAATTGTATTTTTGCTAGTAATATTGATGAATTTTAATTTAACAAATAAATAAATAAATGATTAAAAAAACTTCTATAATTATATTGTTAATTTTTAATCCATCGCTATTATCAGAAAACATATAATTTATTAAATTTGATTGAATAATTGTACAATTTTCAAATCATATATAAAATATATTAAAATTTGTAAACACTAACAGCAATCGGTAGCAAAATGGTAAAGTACAAGTCTGCTAACATGATCTCGATTTCAAGTTTCGGTTAGGTTTTCACTATTTTCTTTCATTTTTTCATTTTTCGTATGTAGTTCAAATTATACGGAACCTGTCCAATGTTATTTTATTTATAATATGCGTGTATTATTTATTCAATTTTTAGAGAAAAGTTGATTATTGATAAAAACAAAATTTTTGTATGAATTTTGTGCAAAATTTGTAATTAAATTAAAAAAATGCCAAAAATAAATAACTTGTCTCTAGCTATTCGTTTAGAGCAGACGACGGAGCTTTGCTACAGTCATTGGAAATAGGAACCTAAAATGTAGAGTCATTTATTAAGGGACCTGGAGAGCACTTTTTGAAGCGTTAACGTTGTCTAGTAGGTAGGCTCTGACACGCATGTGTTAATTATTATATTATAATATACCAGTACTGTTCCTTGGGGTAGTGTCGACCAGGCGAAGTATAATATTAGTTAATATTAGTTCGTCAAATTAACAATCCTGGTGGCTGCAACGATTTTCGGTGGTGCCAAGAGCTGAACGACTTTGTCGCTTCAAGCGAGGATTAAGAAGATGTCATCTGGATCGGGGATTTACGCATACAGTTTACTGAACGACGATAATCTGCTGCATCATATGATGCCAACTGAAATCCTGGAGTTGTTGACTTGCTCGTCGATAACCAAGTAGATTTCGAATATGATGTCCATCTTATTAATAATACCGGGCAGACGGCAATTTTAGATGCAGCATAGGCCGGTAACGCTGGGGGCGTTGCCTTCCTAAAGCGCTGTGGTCTGGATGGGTTAATTGTTGACGACCTCGACAACAACGCATATCCGACCACATAGAACATAGTGCTCAACAAGCTGATGGGCTTGGCACCTAGACAAGTAGACAAATGGGTCGTTGTTCGAACGACTGTAAACTATTTGGATGCCCAGACATTATCTACCCTCTGTGGATTACCGGTTGAAGAAGAATAGCCGCAATCGGCTCTTTTTCAGGGCCAAACGATCGACTGTTTTCAGAGCCACTGTCGGTTCTTTTCAAAACCATAAATCAATTCAAAACGTATAACTAAAATATTCTTTGTACTATTTTCATTGCAATGTATTTCATTTGTGTGAGAAATCCCTCTTGAAAATATCAAGTAAGTTTTTACACAGGTCCTTACGTACGTATTTCAACAAAGTTCATACATAAGAACTTATTTCATAGAAAAAGATCATATAAAATAAATTTTTAAAATAAAATATATCTTTGGTGAGAATTGAAAACCGTTCATACTAAATTCCTAAATTTATTACATAAAAAAGTTCTTATATCAATTTTTCTTTTCTTACATCAAGAAATTACCTAGGCAATTTTTTGTTTATACTTTATTTAATAAGTTCTTCCGTAAGAACTTACATGTGTTTAATTAATTCTTACGCAAGAACTTACTTGAAATTTTCAGGAGGGATAAGAATTTTTTCTTACTTCCATATAATATTAATAAGTATGTATTACCTACTCTTTTATATATGAAACTATATTTTCTATAATTTCGTAGCCTATACATATTTAAACCTATAGAAAAGGGTTGATTCAGAGCTAACAACTTTAGAATCACTTCCTACCTGTCCGACTATACGAGTAGAAAATCGATATTTAAATAGAATGATACGTTGGTAAATTAATTGCATTGAATTATTCCGTTTTAGTTTATCATATAATTTACTAATTTACAGAATTGATTCATCATCAAGTTTTGTTACTTAAATGTCGTTCAAGTATTGAGCAAATAATCTTTTTTCTATTACATTTGATATTTTTTTAAGTTTAAACTTGACACAATTAAACTTAATTTTAATAAAAATGAAATGCTACAAATGCGATTTCATGAAAAAATATTTGCACTTTTGCACTTGTTACAGTATGTTCGTTTTTTATGCTATCTTGATAATATCGTTCGGCGCTTGCGCAATAATTTATTGGTCATTTGTAATCGACAGTAGGCTATGCACGATATACAGAACGTAGCTATTTGTCTCTCTCTCTTTCTCTCTCTCTCTCTCTCTCTTTTCTCGACGCAGTATGTCAATTGCGACGGCGTCGTCTGCGCGTGTGAATACATACATAAGCGTCGAGACTATATAGTTATAAAGAAAAATAAGGACAGACGCTTGTGTTGCGCGCGCAAGTTGGAAAGAGACGGCAAAAGTGAGCAAGAGGATAGTCATCATCGTAGTCGGCGACGGCGCGCGCGGGTAGTGTTAGCTCTCGCTCACGGGGGTTATATCAGTCATCGTCGGCGTTGTGCGCGTTCTGTGTGTGGGTTCATAGGAAAATTCGACTGAGAGCAGTGAGAGTCATCTCGCTCGCGTAATTGAGTGAGAGTGTAGTCGTTGCCGCCACCGTTGGTCTCGACAATTCGATCTTAGCGCAGCGCGTGTTCCCTATCTCCTTTTTTTCTCTTTCGCTCAATTTTATTTCATTTTTACAAACGCACGCTTTGCGTGTTTGACCTACCTACTCCTGTCGTATTCCCCAAAAACTTGCTATCGTGTCGCGTCAGTGCCGGCTATCAACAATACTCGGTGTGCCACATCGCTATCGAGCCGGCTGCAGAATCAGCAAGGCAACGCTCGTATCAACAAAATCATGGGAAACGTTCACACTTGTGGACCTAATGAGGCTCTCGTCGTGTCAGGTAAGGCTTGAGATCAAAGCTTCACCAAAGTTTTCTAACCTAGAAAAGCTGTCTTTTTCTCTCTGTAAAGCTATATAGGCGTGTACGGGGTCTACCCCCCTCCTCTTGCCCTATCATCAGTGCGTGCAGTATACGTCACAGCGGCGGGGAAAATCCTAGTGCGCGTGTGGAAAAAAATAGAGCGAGGGAGAGACGGACGCGCCTTTGACTCATCTCGGGATAAACACCCCCACTCGATTTACGCACGAAGGGTGAGCCCCGCGTCTCGCTCCCCCCTCCTTTACTGCACTTAAAATTCTTTCGTGTGTGTATTGATGCGTGCAAAGAGGAGAGACACGCGCCTTGGTTTGCTTGCTAACGACCTGCACAGCCGTGCGCTCTGCTTGACAGTTTTGTCGTGGAATAAAAATGCTTTACGGAGTTTCTGCATGCAGTCTCAATCCTTGCCGACGTCTATTATAAAAGACGCTGGAGAGCAAGAGAGGGAGAGAGAGAGAGGACCGATTAATTGACAGATTCTTGTTGCTGCAAGCGGAGAGACTCCAAAGAAAGAGCATTTTCTTTTCTTAGTTTTTTTTCAGCTCGACGACGTATTTATTTTTAGCAGAACATAAGTTTTCACCATGTGTATATTTTGTGTTGACATATGCACAACTTTGATATTCCCGGATTATGTACGCGTGACATCCTTTTTCTCTTTATTCGCGTCTATCGCGGGACTGTGGCGTATTAATGTAGACGAGTAGTTTTTGGAGTAGATGTAGTAGTGGAGAAGTAATTTAGAAGAGCTAGCAATATTAGAGAGCCGTTTTGAAGTTGATGCTGCTAGCTGGCAGAATACTATATTTTTATTCATTTTCCTCTCTTAAGACCCCTCGCGTCAATTCTTGTCAGTGTTTCATATTGACTTTTTTCTTCTTTGAAACATTCAATTGATTAATATTCAGTGTACTACGGTGTACGTGACTATTTTCGAACGTGCTCGGCTATATCAAAACAATAATCTACGAGAGTTGACTTGTACGAACTATAATAAAAGTTATACTGCCCATGAAAAATGAAAATTATAGAACTGATTGTTTTATGTGTGTTTACATATGGATTGTCATTCTTTGATTTACTTTTCTGATTATATTTGCTGTTTTTTAAAATATTGAGTTCTTCATTTATAGTGCAACTTATGAGTTAACTCTCAACATCGTGATTCTTTTGAATTTATTGATAGTGGAAGATAAATACAATAAACACGCCATTTAACTTCTACTGTCATTGATTAATTGAGTGAGTTTGTGTATTCAAATATTGATTCTTTCGTTATCGGTTTTATATTTTTATTTTATTTTTTGTCACAATTGACTCATGTGTTTTACTGGTATAATCATATTTTGCACCAGAATACACAATTGTTGATAGACAACACTTGAAAACCTTGTTCAACGTTGTCATATGTTATTTAAAACATATAATGAATATTTATGTACAAGTTATATAGTCAATATATATACAATTATTACGTAAAAATATATTATGTAACAATTTATTATGTAACATTTTATTTACCATAAAAAAATGTAGTGGTTGATAAAAAAATGTAGCTTGACTTACGACTGAATTTGATTGATAATCCTATAAAATTGAATTTCATTCATGACGAATCGTATATCAGTAGCAATTCCAAGAATTTTTATATACATTTAATCATACATATGTGTGAGTGTGTGTATACGCATACGGAGAACTGCTATTCTCCTTTTTTGTTGCTAGATAATATAAGCGTATTTGATTTTAGATGATTTAGATGATTTAGATGAGTTGAAAACGTCCGAGAAATTATAGCTAAATAAAAATAATTAGATTGAATTGATAATTTGAAAGCTTATTGTTATCATTGATATAAATAGACTGGCTACCTTTGATCAATGAAAATAACTGTCACGTGCACTTTTGCATAAAACGCAGTAAGTTTTCTACAGGTTATTTACAATGCTACATATGTTCAGAAAAGATCTTCCGAGTATTTAGATGACGATCGTGTTGGGCGTAGGGCGTTGAAATTGGCACAGCAATAAGTTTACGGCAGCTTGACTCAGCTTCCTTATCTACACATTGGTATTTAAGTGTTTGGTCTATCTACAGCGGAAACACGTCACGCACATTCATACTCTATACACGATAAAACTGTTCTAGACATCGTTAACTCTTCCGACGCCCTGCCAGGTCTGTTTAATCATGTCCGCGCCTTTCTCGCCAATCATAAATATACCAGCATTAACGTGGCCGACCGGCATCAATGGCATCACCGAAGCATCGATAACTCTGAGACCTTCTATTCCGTAAACTCGAAGTTTTGGATCAACAACTGCGTCATGATCAGTCGGTGGTCCCATCTTGACAGTTCCGATTTCGTGGTTCATCATCGACGGTAACTGCTTGATAGCGCACCGCCAGTACTCGTCACTGGCGAATTCGTAGCTTCTGCAGCCGGGAATCTTGTTACGATTCAGACGGCTGCCGAATTTGGCGAACGGCTCAGTCTTCGACAACGCGATGGCATGCTTGATACCCTCGAGGATAATTTCCACGTCGGCCGGGTGCTCGAAGAAGTTGGGCTGAATGACCGGTGCGTCCAACGGATCGTTCGACTTGAGAGTTATCCTGCCGAAGCTGCGCGGTCGCTGAACGATTGGCCAGATCGACCACGCGTCCTGTCCCTCGATGGGCTTGAACACACTGTCGTAGAGCTCGTCGGTGATGCCCAAGCCGCGCCTGATGCTGAGTCCGTTGTCCGAGTGCAAGGAGCCACCGACGAACAGCAGCTCGACGTCCGGCCGCGAGTCTTGCGCGTACTTGGTCCTCAAGAAGGCGATCGCCTCGGCGCCCCCTGGCATCGTCATTATGCCCTTGTTCTGCAAGGCGTACTCCAACATCACGCTCGGCTTCATCACTCTGCTCTGCAGCAGGCTGACGCTTTGGTTCACCATGAACGTCAAGCCCAAGAAGCCCACGTGCTCGTACAAGTTGTAGCCGACTTTTGAATCTTGTATCGTTTCTATTCCCAAACTTTCCAGGTGCTCTCTAGGCCCTATGCCCGATAACATGAGCAGCTTGGCAGAATCGATCGTGCCTGCTGAGATAATCACCTCTTTGGTCGCTCTCGCGGTATACTTCCTGCCGTTTCTCAAGTACTCCACGCCGTAGGCTTTCTTGTCCTTGATGAGCACTTTCGTGACTTGAGCGTTCACGAGGATGTGCAAGTTTGGTCGTCGTACGCTCAAGTAAGCGATCTCAGCGCTACAGCGTTTACCATTGTCCATGTTTACCTGGATGTAGGAGAAGCCGATCTGCTCCGGCCCGTTATAGTCGAGGACCTTGTAGCCAAGTTTTTCGCCCGCTTTCAGAAAGGCCGTTGATAACTTGGTGTGATAAGGCACGTGCTCCACGCAGAGATAGCCGTCAGTGCCGTGGTACGACGAGTTCGTGACTCCTGCGAGTGAAATTCAGAGGTTACGGCCTATTATTAAAACTGCGGATGGGGCTAAAGGAAAGAAGATCGAAAAAAACTATGGTTCCTTAATATATGGGCTTTGAGAATTCGTTAATCGTATTGTCTTGCTAACGCTTTTGACGTTAGTTTCGTTTCGTTTAATCAACCGATACCGCACTGCTGCTTCGACGTCACGCAGTCTTATTCCTTTCTGTATTGTTTTCGGCGTAATGTAATATTTAAGAGTTCTCTTTTATATGCTACGTGGAATGATTTATACAATTACGTGTAAATTACTAGCGAAGGTCTTGAATAAATAAATAAATTCCCTAGGCGTTCACCCTGAGAGAGGTTCCCAAACAAAAACAGAAATCGAAGGTGTGAAAGCAGTAGCTTCCGAGACTACTGCTTTGCGTACCTCTCCGCAGTACCTAGCGCGATCCATGAATTATTCAGTTGGATCCCAGATGCATATTATGTGGTTTCTAGAACGGAAAGCTTCATTTTCACCGGGTCTCGCCATCGTCTTTTCTAATAAATTTGTCCGCGGATAAAATTTACACATATATGCATGTAGTTGGGGCCGAAAGCTGAAAAACGCACAACATAATTAACGAAGAAGCTACTATTCATCTTCTACGAAGAGCGCCACGCGACATTTAAGTTTTTAGCTTATCGGCGACCTCATTATGACGATATCGCGTGCCGCGCAGCACTCGGCGAATACGTTTGATTAAACTAATGTAATGCCGAAGAAATGTCACTTGGAGTAAATGGCGCAAGGAACGCGAAGCTGTTTCGTCACTGTGAATGGCAATGTTTGTCAAAGAGCCAAATAATTACTGCGTCTCGAAATGACGTAAGTGCATAGCAACCGCGTACTGCTTGCGAACAATAGTAATTTAGACGTTTCCGTGGAAGGCATTTTGATCGACGCGCTGCGATCGTTGAATAATCGGCACCGAACGGGCGTCTGATATAAAAACGAGCAACGAAGAAAATACAAAAGAATTACCTGGCACCTTGAACCGCTCGCTCTTGATGTAGTAGGGCAGCACGTCGTTGAACGACCAGCCTTCGTTGCCCAAAGCAGCCCAAATGTCGTAGTCAAGCTTATTACCCCTGGTGTGTATCATGTAGTTGAGAGTGCTGGTGCCCCCGAGGGCTTTACCCCTTGGCCAGGGGCACCGATGGTTCTTCATGCCGAGACAAGCGTTCGTCTGCGGCTCGACCTTGTAGCCCCAATTGTACTGGGTCAGCTGGAATATGCTCACCAATATTGGTATTTGGTTGAGTGGGCCTTGCTCTCCACCAGCTTCTATCAACAGAACTCGCCATTTGCCATTCTCCGATAGCCGGTTCGCAACGGTGGAGCCGCCCGAACCGGCACCCACTACGATGAAATCGTAGGGTTTGCTGCTCGGCTTGCTAACGATGTTCTCTTGAACTTGACCGTGGTTTCTGAGGATGTCCAATATTGTGTCCCCACAACTCCATGATGCTGACAGAGTGAACACCAGGACAATGCTCATCAAACTCATGTTTCTTAGCATTTATTTTCCTGTAAATAGTTGCGAATGATTAATTCAAAGAATAAGCTATAACTGATAATTGGTGACAAGAAAAAAATAATCAGCTACTACAACGCAGCTTTCACCGCGTATGCAATTTATGATCGTGCGACGGAACTCTGAACTACTTTTATTTTGGGCCTCTATTGTATCGCAGATGCAGTAAACTCTCAAGGTGCATCTAACTTTTGATTTCTCTCTCTTTCTCTCGTCACACACGCACATACGCACTTACTTGCTTTATTCCTTACGGCGAAAAATTCGATGCTTATATATTTTATTGTCTTTCTGATCCTTCGCGTTCTATTGATATCAAATTTTCTCACAATTTACGAATTTTTCAAGCACATATATGTTTAATTTTGATAACAAAAATATGCGCTTCCACCATGCATTCATTAAAACCATCTACTTCATACGCAATGTGTCGTTACACTTTCCAACAATTTCAATAAAATGTCCATTAGTTGAAAGTAAATTGAAAACTTTTTTTATTATCTTGCCTGACAAGAAAGTTCTGTGCATGAAAGTACACTAAACACGTTATTAGCAAACGCGTAACATATATTACATATGTATATTCTACCGGTGAAACGATTCGTACGCCTAATCACCGTAACAACAGTGTATTTGATGTTGAACTATTTATTGCTGTTAGCGGAAATGTGTTTCGTTGCATTGAACTAAAGTAGCCTCTTATTCGCTAACTTTCAATGAAGGATAAAGTCAGGCTTAATGTTCGCTGTGGCAAAGCTTTGAACACATGACGCAATTTTTAGCTATACTTCAGATCAGCTGGTTAACTAGGTGTATAACACCTCTCTCTCTCTCTCTCTCTCTCTCTCTCTCTCTCTCTCTCTCTCTCGCATTTCGGAAGACCGACTGGAATTGATAATCGCTTCCACTCATTTTTTGTCTCGGCTATCTGGTCGTATATATTTGTTTTCTTCCACATCGGACCGATCACGCAATCAGCCAGAAATATATTGTTACGTACGTTGCATAAAAGGTCCATGCGTACTCAATTTGAAAATTTCACTTAATTTTACGTATCGTTCGATGAAGGCACATGTGAATGGTGCCTTTTTTGTTACAAGTGTAATGCGTCAGTTCGTTGGAGGACGATTTGCATTTCTTGAAATTGCATAACTTTCACTTTCCAATTCCGAAGACATCATAGATATTAATAAACCACATTTTAGGGATCCTACGTAATGCTCGAACTCTGCTACTTTTGATTTCTATCAATGATTGATTAATTCATTAATGATTGTATCACTTCAACTTTTAACACCTTATATATTTGAGTGTTCTCATTTCACAAGTAAGTGCTTTTAAAAATCAGCGCGATGTCGAAATGTTTGCTTACATCTTTCCTCATGTGGATTGCGAATTAAATGCGACAGGTTGAATTGGAATTCAATCATGGAAATTTTTGGTTTTTGAATGAGACATCGAGCCGAATAAGAGATAAGTGATGAGAAATACTTCGTGGATGTTTTGATAAGGCATCGTCAATATGCACGTTTCGATGACAATGAGCCGCGTATAGGTCTTCGCTCACTGGCGCCTCTTTTTCAGCTTTAAATACTGCCCGTAGCGAAGCCGTCTTCGCCCTCAGGGTTGACCTTAATTCACAAACGAGTATACTTCCCCGGCCATTGATCTAGTTTGCGCGCGCTATTGCTTTTGGAGACCAACTGAGCTTGCTCTTGCCACTCAAATTAGGAAAGTCATTTTTTCTTTCTCTTTCCCCGACGGCTTTAAGAGAAACACACTTGTAAGCCGGTTTTTTGCCGCGCTTTCATTCCACTAGTTTTTCTATGGCTTTGAACGAACGTTGGGAAGAAACATTCGCGATCGTATTTTTTCCCGTCGATGCCGCAGCTTCTAAGTATTGACGGTTTTATGAATGTTGTTGGGATGATTGACGAGAAGAATTTTGTAATGAGCTATCGTTGAGCGATGGTTGTAAATGCAGAGGGCATTGTGCCATTTCTTCACTTCTCGCGGGTAAAAAAGAAAGTGAAAATCTGTAATGAATTCAGGTTTTCGAAACGGCACCTACTGAGTCTTAACTGATAAATCTTGTATGCAGATCGACGAAGATTTTTTAATAGTTTTCAAATTACAGAACGTTTATCTGAATAATACCTTCACAATTAATTATTGATACATCATACCAATAAATTCTAACCATAGAAAACAAAGTGAAATATTAGCCAATTGATTTGAGTTATGTATTGACAAATCACCAGACAATATTGTGAAAGAAATACTGATCGTAACTAGAAATTGCGACAGGCCAAATTCGACAAGTTCTAACAGTTGTTCGATAACATACCCTGTATTGCGCAAGAGGCGTTGAACAAGACAAAATTAATTACTCAACCAATTCAGTCGCCGGTGTATTAAAGGCTGTCCACGTGCGAATGAGCGTAGATATTTTGAATTTTTTCTAAAAATAGATCTGATTCTATTGAAATTACTGACAAGGTTTTTAACTCCGTTAAGAGCGTACTAGCATCCAAACGAAATTTCGAAAAATGTACTTACCAGAAAATGAATGAACTCGATTCCACTGTTAAAAGTGTTCTCTTTACTTTGTAGAAAGCGCGGAAAAAGAATATTAGCAGAGACGCCCGAACGCACGAAAAGTAAATAGCTACTGTGGGCAGGACTTTGTGTTGTACAATAGAGCAACTGGATGCACAGCGTGCGTGCGTCAAGCGCGAATAACGCGTGAGTGTGCGAGCCTCGTGCGAGATCCACCTAAGCGGAGAAATGCTCGCTTTCACGAGATGCTCACGTAATATTTAGTCCTCCCTACTTCTCTCCTCCTGCCGTCCGTTCCTACTTTGATATTCAGAAGAAGGCCTTTGTCGTGATAGGTCAATGACGGAAAGAGTGAGAGCGGAAACAATCACCTATTGTTTTTGCTAGCGTACAACGGAAGGATATGCAGTTATAAACTGTAGATGAGTAGTTTTGATTAGACCATTTGAAATTATTTTGAAAGTAATTTCATGAATGCGATTTTGATGAAGAGAAATTTGAAGATATTCATTTGATTATCTAGAGAACGCTGTGCTTCAACTTTTCAATTGTTTCTACTTTTTCCTCATTTTAATAGGAAATACGTTTATTATTTAAACAATTTTTTATTTCAAAACATATATTTATTTTTTTAATTTGTGTAATATATATAGTATTCTTTATGTCTATTTCATAGGCAGATTAGAAATACAATTGGTTATAGATTCGATATCGAAATTTTTTACAAGTTTAATAACTCTCTTCAATAAAAATATATGTAAATCATATCAACTGAGATTGAATATTGTATACTGATTATGATAAAAAAATCAATTATGGACAAACTTTACCTAATAATATGGTTTATCTTAAAATAAGTTCTTATAAAATTTGTCTACATATTTTTAAAATAAACTTTGTATAGTTGATTGTTAAAGCTTTCGCGGTATGCAAGCATGTTACTAATTTGTCCCATGCCGTATCATATACTAGGTGATCCTCGCGATATGAAACAACTAATTTGATTATATACGACAATAAGTCTGACATATATTTTAAAGAGTTACACTTGAAAATACAACATCTTAAATGCTAATAAATTCTAGTTAACATTTTTAAACAGGTTCTATCCTTTAATTGAACGGCAGATATCAATAAATTAAAATTGATTTGGTTTTTACTTTAATGTTCATAATTATAAAGATGAGGTATTTGACGCGCGAGATATGTATTCATATTTCGTATTATTGTATTAAATAATAGAAATTTGTATTATTATTAAAAGTGAGCTTTTTATATTTCAGACAAATCGATATTGTGAACACATAACTACTCTTTCCTTGATGTAAAAGAAAACAATGAATAAGCAAGTATTACTAAATTTAGTTTCTCCTTTTTTTATGTTAATCAACAAAAAATTAGCTTTGACTATTGCATTCTATTACTGTTTTATTTGTTAAATTTATTACATGGTATTAATGAACTTTCTCTTGTCAGTTAGCATCCATTATAGAAAAAATTTGAAGAGTAGTTACACCTTCTGTTACATAATTAAATATAAAAACTATAAAGTAGATAAACTCACTCCTACTGCATTGAGAGTAAGTTTTACATATCCATAAGAATAGTTGCTAACACGAAGATGTATTTTTATAAGTATAGAAAGGTATTTTATTTTATTAAATAGACTTTTTCTGTGGATATGTTTTAAGATTTTATTTAACAAAACATAATGATAGTAGTAATGTGTATGTGTGTACATCAAAGGTAGTTTTATCATTTAGAAGCGATTGATCGTTTTGTAATTAAGAAATGTTTCACGGTTTGTTTTCATTAGAATATAACTTCCAATCTTCTTTAACCATATCCGCTAATTTTTCACCTATCATTATTACTGGTATGTTTGTATGCCCAGTCATAATCATTGGCATAATAGAAGCATCTGCGACTCTTAATCCTTTGATTCCTCTTACCTGACAATTATCAATATACTTCATTATTTTTTAATACTATTAATATAAATTCGAATAATGGATATAAAATATAAAATTAATGTAATAATCTCAAAACTAAAATATATAAAAATTATTTGTAAAATAATATGAAATTGACTATAAGTCATGAAAAGTGCTCAACGTACTTGTAATCTAGAATTGACGACTCCAGTAGGATCGCTGTTCGGTGCCATTTTGCAAGTGCCTGATTGATGATAGATTGTAAAAGTAAAAGTTCTTGCTGCACACTCCCAATATTCATCAGAATCATATTCATATTTTTCACAGCCAGGCACAGCAAAGTTATATAACTCTGATTTGAAACGCTGCATAGCGTCAGTTCTACTGACTTCAATAGCTGCTCTTATTCCTTTTACCATGACTCGAACATCTTCAGGATCGTCGAAGTAATTAGCGAAAATTTTTGGTTTTGAATTGGGATCGTTATTACGCAGCAAAATTCTTCCCCGGCTATTAGGCCTCATTAGCATAGGAAAAATAGTCCAAGAATGATTTCCAGATATACTCGCAAACATGTTCGTCCAATGCTCATCTGAAATACCAAAACCATAGCGAAAGGATGTATCCGATACTATGGAGCCACCAATAAATAATAATTCGATGTTAGGAAAGCTATTCAATGACTTTGGGTTATCAACGTCGATAAAAGCTAAAGCTTCGCATCCACCGGGAATTGTAAATGGCCCGTCTTTTCGATTCAAAAAGTCTCTTAAATATGGTTTCATAGGGTTTGACATATCTTCAGTTTTAATACTAACTGGTTGATCAATAAGAAATACTAATCCACCATATGCAATATGGTCCATAAGATTTTCTCCAACAGGTGCATCTTGAATCACATCTATTTTCATTTCTTTTAAATGTTTAGCTTGCCCGATACCCGACAACATCAAAATTTGCGGAGAATTGATTGCACCTGCGGATAAAATTATTTCTTTTTTTGCTCTTACGCGAATATTCGTTCCAGATTTTGTAAAGTTTACAGCGTACGCCCTTTTGGTTTCAGGATCTATCAATATTTTATTAACGTGACTATGCTTTGTCACAAAAATATTTTTCCTTTTTTTTACTGGAAATAAGTAAGCTCTATTCGTACTCATTCTTGTGCCATTTTTTATAGTAGCTTGAATATAAGAAAATCCAATGTGTTGATGAGCATTGTAGTCTCCGATTGGATATCCCATCTCAACGCCAGCATCAAGAAAACTTTCAGCAAGTGGCGTATGATATGGCGGATAACCTATGTGAAGCGGTCCATTTATATGATGCATAACTTTATCTTTTTTTAAACCATCGATTCCCATGTTTTCAAGTTTCTTAAAATATTTTAATACGTCTTTGAAAGCCCATCCTTCATTGCCCATCTCAGCCCAGTGATCATAATCTCGTGGATCACCTCTAGTTGCTATCATATAATTTAATACACTACTACCACCCATAACTTTGCCCCTGGGAAAATTGCACTTTTGATCTACCATACCTAGACAATAAGTTTCGGATGATTCGGTCTGAAATTTCCAATTCACCTCATCACTGAATTGCAAATAATTTACGATAAGAGGAATATCCATCATGTAATTCTCATTTCTACCAGCCTCAATTAGAAGAACCCTAACATCAGGCACTTCACTAAGTCTGGAAGCAATAGTAGCACCTGCACTACCAGCACCGATCACTACAAAATCGTATTCCTCGTCAAGAGTTGGCGTGATATCCTTTAAACCAACGTTCATTAGCCTTTCGTTTTCACGCATAAATTTCAAAATACCTACTGTTAAATTCACGAGGGCTTTGTTTATTGAAACTTTATCCGCTGTAAATCCATAAAGATTGCGATAATTAAAATTCTGGTTTCCTATAACTGCGGTAACGATTATGTTAAATGAAAAAATTCTTGAGATAGCCATAGCAAGCTTGTTATAACAATTTTGAACTATTTTTTTCTACTTTCGTTTAATTTTAAATTTTTATTATTTTTCTATAATCTAAATATTTGTATGCAATCACAGGCTGCCAGTCTTATAAACAGGATTACTCTTAATCCAAACGATTCTTTGTTGCGACTGACTGTTAAAGATAATCTCAGAGAATTGCACTTATGACAAGTGACGTTGCGAAATTGTATGTAATATTTGGTCATTGACTATAACCGGACAGTCACAAAAACCTTCAAATTTTATCTTAGTCACTTCCATTTTTATTTTTTAAATATTTAATTTGTATTTTGAGTAGACTAGTGATATTGCGTTGCACACTACTTCTTTTAGATTTTTCTGTTATTCATTATATAATTTGAACCTTTTATACGACGACTTTAAGATTCTAATCGTATACACATATAAATAAATTATACTATTTAAAATACACGACATCTATGATATCCATTGATGAATAAAAATAGATTTTTCACCCATTTTTTTATAAAAACCAATGAACTTTTATTCATTTCAAAATTTATTGGAAAAATTATTCAAAAGATTAATCAAACCTCTAATTGATAAAATATACTAAGCTATTATACTACTATACAATACTCAAATCTTACATACTTAATAGTAGTGGTTACGGTCCCAGTCTTATATTAGTATGATAAGAGTAATACATTTAACATCGTGTATCTTTTTATTGCCTCGTTAAAAACACCCGTGAAGGTTCTTTAAATTTAACGAGTTTAATATTTCGATAAATAGCTTCTGTTGCCTGCATATTTCTTAATTTATAATGTACGAAATATAAAAATATATTTTCCCCTATTTTATTCTATTCACTTTCTCTTCCAACCAAATATGAATTTACAGTATTATACATGGCTACACAATTATTGATTTGTGCTAATGATTTCATAACATAATCTCTTATGTTCTTAAAACGATTTATCAACGGCATATTTCCATTCCTGCAGATTATTATCCATATTAATTTTTCATAAATTAAGTTTACTATTGAAATATAAATCTCACTTTTAAATATTATGTGATACAAATATTTTAAAGTATACAAAATTCAAAATTTCACGCTTTAGTATCAATCGGTCACAATGCTGGATGTCGGTGGCTCATAATTTTTTTTAAGATAAGAACTGCTCATTGTAGTTTAATCGGCCCCTTGATTAGTACTACTAATTTTACACACTTGTATTTGTGTTTTTCATGGTACAGGATCATAAATGACTAGTATTGCAATACAAAATAAATTGAATTCGTAAGCTGTGCTCATTGCCGTATCTTAACAAGTTGATCGTTTTTTTATGGTAAAATTTATTTACTACATATTCATAACATAACGTAATATTCATAACACGCTGAAAAATAATAAGTAGGTGCAAATTACTACTTTTCGTTAACGGAAAGTTTAAAGTTTGATTTAAGCACTCGATGAAAGAGGCCGAAATGGACATTCGCATTATTTGAACATTGCAAAAAGGATCGAATATTGCACTCGCAGAGCAGTGCACATGCACGAACAATTGAAATTGACTAAGACGTTTGCTACTTTGCCTATTTACTCGATTTTTCTATGAATGCATATGTACCACGAAAATATGACATATTCAAATTACATGGTTCAATTATCGTGGTCACTAAAAGGAAATCTTGTTAAATAATAGATTTATTATCTTCAAATTGTGATTTTAGCGATTTGAACAATTTATTGATCATGCATTAATAAATGCGTTTTAGTGGTAATTATTACTATTTATATTATTATAAACTATTTCTCTATATTGAACTTTATAACATAATATTAAGGGTGGGTTGTAGCGAAAAGCTCATATGCAGTATAACAAATAAAAAATTTTATTTAAGAAACTAATCTAAATTGATAACAATTAATTTGATAAAAAATAGTAACAATCAGATTCAGCACTAATAATAGTGCCTTTAATTTTCATGTACTACGTATTAAACATATTAAACTTAGAACAAATAAACGTTATGGCACAAGAAACTTAATTATACCTGAGGAAATATGCTGAGGAAACAGTTTTATACAAATATATTCAAAACATCTAAAATATAATCGTGCTTTAACAACGTTTCTTAAATATCTTCTTAAAAACGTGACTTATGCTATTATCTAACGATAACATCAATAATATTACATTTATTATAGATGTATATGATACATCTTTCGTTGTCAGTATTTACATTTATATTCATATTTACACATTTTTCATCTTTTATCTTATAAATTCTCCAGTATTCCAATCAAGCTTAATCAAATCTGAACCTTTCTCAGCGATCATAATGACAGGAGCATTGGTATTACCACTACTAATAGTCGGCATAATCGACGCGTCAATAACTCTCAATCCATCAACTCCATAAACTTTAAGTGTTGGATCTACGACAGCTTCAGGATCCCAAGCAGGTCCCATTTTTGCTGTACCAACAGGATGATAAATTGTCATTGTTATGTGTCGTATATGACACTCCCAGTACTCGTCGCTAGCGAATTGTAAGTGCTCGCATCCAGGCAACTTGATTTGATGAACCCGTGAGCCAAATTGTTTGAAGACATTAGCTTCACTGATATGCATAGCTATTTTGGCACCTTCGACGAGAGTTGCGATGTCGTGTGGATCGTCAAAGTAATTGGCATCTATTTTCGGTCCTTGAAAGGGATTGGAACTACGAAGTCTGACGGTACCACGTGATCGTGGCCTCAAGAGCAGAGGCATTATGGTCCAAGCATCGTGATTAGCTATCGGTCGGTAAACTTTGTCATACACTTCGTCAGTTATTCCTAAAACCTTTTTAATTTGAACACCAGCATCAGAATTAATAGATGCAGGAGCCATATGGAACTGAATATCCGGATAGGTACCAGAAGCATTAGCATATTTTGTATTAACAAAAGCATAACCTTCAACTCCACCGAGAGTTGTCATAGGTCCTCTACCATTAGCTACATAATGCATCGTCATCGGTGCAGCTTGAAAACGGTCTTGAACAATTGCTACAGGTTTGTCTACGAGGAACGTCAGTCCACCCATGCCTACATGATCCTGCATGTTGTCGCCAACTTTGAGATCTCTAAAAACAGGAATACCCATCTCTTCAAGATGCTCTCTTGGTCCAATTCCGGATAACATGAGTATCTGTGCACTGTTGATTGCACCTGCTGACAAGATGACCTCCTTTCGCGCCCTAATGTATTGTCTCCTACCACCTCTGACGAATTCGACACCCATGGCTCTCATCGTCACCGGATTGATCATGATTTTCGTAACGTGAGCATTTAGTGCAGTGTGCAAGTTTTTTCTCAGTCTGACTGGCCTCAGAAAAGCTTTGGCAGTGGAACACCTGGTGCCCCTCCTAATGGTTCCTTGGGCAATCATGAAACCAGTTTGATACTCGCCATTGATGTCACGATTCTCGTATCCGATCTCTTTGCCTGCTTGCACGAAGGCCACGACTAGAGGTGTCCGCCATGGTGATTCCTACGTACATAGATATATGTAAAGTAATTAGCATATTGTTATATTTATGAGATATTTATCTACCATAATCATGTAAAATGCATTAGAAAATTTAACTGACTTGTCACTCGCTATCAGAAAAATAATTTTAAGGATGCCAGCGGTCTTGTATTAATGGCTCGTTCGAAAAATAGTCTCAAAGCTATCAATTTGATCGATTAGAAAAGAAACGACTGGCGTGAAAAAAAAACTAACCTGCACTGTGAGATATCCACCAGTGGCATGGTACGGACTATTTTTCAGGTACGGATTGCGATTGTCCTCGGACTTTTTGAAGTAGTAGAGCGCTTGATCGTAACCCCATCCTGGATTCCCGAGCGCTTCCCAGTGCTCGTAATCGTGCCGGTTACCTCTTACGTACAGCATGTAATTCAGCACGCTCGAGCCACCAAGAACCTTCCCTCTTGGCCAATTGCATCGTCCGCCCTTCATCGCCAAACAAGAGCGACCGTTCGGCTCGGTTTTGTACTTCCAATCGAGTTTAGTCAGCTGAAGGTAAGCTGCCAGCGAAGGTACATCGGTGATTTCGTTCTCATCGGGGCCGGCTTCCAACAGCAACACTTTCCAGTGGGGAATTTCGCTTAATCGACTCGCCACCACTGCGCCAGCTGAGCCGCCGCCGACCACTACGAAGTCGTACTCCGCATCCAATGGGTAACGATCGATCGGCCGGCTTTCCGGGTCTGCAATCGAACACCTTTCATTAGGGGACGACTTTTGTTCCGGCCGCCTTGCGGCGAAACAGTCGCGAATTGTTTATTATTACGTAAAGCTTCACGGGCTTTCCGTGACCGCTGCCGCAACGCTGTCGCTCGGCGTTATGTAAATGAAACACGTCTATATTCTTTTCTGTCTATTCCTCGTCGAGGAAATGTTATTACGTATCTAAAACATCTTACTTAATTATGATGTCAAGGGAAATTTTTCCGACGTGCTCCGACGAATAGAAGATATGTAAATGCACCTTCGTAATGGTGTAGTTTGCCTGCTATATTTTTTAAATTGAATTCGTGACGAATCATTTCCTGAACGTAGCGAAAAGTCTCAAGGTGCGTGGATCGATATGTGTAAGCTAAGCTTAGAAAACTTTCTGTGAATAAATTCGCTTGACGATATCCCCGCATATGCACTTTTCATTGGTATTTATTAATATCGCTCTCGTTTCGTTCTTTTCTTTCTTGCGAATGCGTTTTGAGCTCTCTAAGCGATTAAGCAATACGTCATTGGTCATATTTTCTCGCTCTGAATTACCAAATGAAAAAAAAGAAGGCGCAATATCGATGCAAGTTTTAAGACCCGTGACGTTCACGCGCGTACAATAATTTTCTCCGATATTTTTTCATAGCGTTCATTGAAATCACAGTATTTGCTCAACTTGAGAGGCACTGAAAACTGAAGTACTTTGGTTTTGTCAAACACAAGTTTCCATTAAATGCATGCATTCGTGTGAAATTGAGAAGCGACATAAATTTCTTACCCAGTTGGTCGTAATGATAGTAAGAGAGTCCGGCTATGAGCAACGGCACAAGCCAGAGTCCCGTGCCGACCAAGCCGATCGCGCCCTTGAGAGCCGAAGCCACGACAATCGTGCTCAGCACCATTTTCTTTCTCACTCTCCCTCTCCTTTTTCACTTTCGTTTGTGTCAAATATGAATATCCGGCGGCTTGGAGGTTCTCCGCACTTCCTCTGCAGCGACCTGCCTCCAAGTCAACTCGCGCATGTTACGATCGGCAATGATCCGATGGAGAGTTCAGCATTCTAGAAAGACGAAAAGATTCCATTCGTTGAAAGATAATCTTGGCTGATCCAGACATTGTTATTAATTTACGAGTAATTTCTTAATTTTTCGAATCGACGTACAATCGCAACCACAAATCGGATATACAGCGAACGGAAACACGAAAACTGTTCCGAGATGCGCGATCTCGCCAACTTACGTTATGTGATAGGCATAATGTACTAATTTGATTTAATGATGGGGAAAAGGCATAAAGCATTTACATTTCTTAGAGAGCGAACGCGTAGCTCGAATTAGCACATTAGCATAAATGTTTGTTTATCGTGGCTCAAAGTACCGTGGTGCTCATCAATTACTATCTAAGTGCTGAAACGAATGTTTATAATGATTTTTATCAGTCGAGCTTATCTACAAATCGGATCAAATTTCGTTCTGTTGTCTCTACCGATAATAATATCAAGTCGAGTTTCTCAAGACACGAACTTCGTGACTCATTTATATACATGCGGATCATTAGTGATGCACAGAAAGAATTTTCAGGGCGCAGCGAGAGATTGTTACGTTATATATTTGGGCGGGGAGGAGAGAAAGCGTGAGCACACATACACACACCCACAAATACACGTGTCTTATGAATTTATGCCGCTGGAGCGAATAGAAAGCATTAGAATCAAAGCTTATTTTTTTTCCACTTCTTCTTCTTCGTCTTCTAATTTTCCTACGTAGAACAGGCGAAATTTTTGACGCTGGTGAAAGCTACACGATCGGCTATCGAAAATTCTACGCTCGCTGAATCCCACGCTACGCGCGCTTATTTGGAGAAACGAGCGGGATCGAGCTCGTTACATCGCTGAGATATTATTGTTAATTTCGCGCTTGATGAGGGATAAAAATAGCCATTTTGGACATAACGCCGGTCGAAGCTAGCGACGAAAGCGTTGCGCCGACTCGCTATGCTTTAATTGTCAGCGATTTGTTTGCCTTGCGTCGTAATACGAATTCACGTAATGTGAAAAACGGAAGAGAAAAGAAATTTCACAGCTCACCCGTTTCAAGCTCTTCTCCTCGCTTTCAATTTATAATTCGATATCTCGAGCAGATCCGACTAATTGCGCAGAGATTCGCGGTTGGCAATCTTTGACTGCGCAATGGCCAAATAAAGTCACTCGCGAATCGTTCTCACATTAATCTCTCACGACATTTTTCGCGCCAGTTTCTTACGCGGGAGAACAGTTCTCTCGAGTATCCGCTTGTTCTTTTTCCTTCCAACTTAATTACGGGTTTCCAAGTTCTGCATGTGCAAATTGTCTGCTGACATAAATTATAAGCTATATGCGCGAGGATTCGACGTGAATTGATGTCTCTTTGTGCCACTGTGTACGAGATCGCCGGTGAAAACACAATTTACCTCGTTGAGTTTGTATTTGGATTTTTTAAGTACCCGCGAAAAATATTAATTATAGCATACGAGTCGAATGTTTTGAATGTGTCAAGTGTGTCAATGTTATTCGTAAGAGCTGTTGAAAAGGATCGAACGAATGTAATAGTTATTGGCAACGTCGAGACATGACAAATATCTTTAAAAAAAGAGTGCAAACGATTAATGACTTTTTTTCTAGCTACAGCTGAAAAAGAAACCGTGAGATAATTATCGTCGTTGAAAGGAAAAAAAAGATCTCGGAGCAATATCATTACATCGACCGCAGCCTCGAACATCTCAATCGACGAGATTCATTGATCAGCCATTTGGAGCATATCGTAGCACAGCTACTCAATCGATCGCGCTAAACAAATACAGCGCGCGTACACATATCCCTCGCGGAAACAATCGAGCGTAAGGTGGGTGCAGCCAACGTCCTACGGCTGCACAGCACAATTAATTTCTCTTTCGCAGTTTCAATGCGCACCTGTCGCGCACAATTGCGAGTGCCACGAGGAAAAAAACTCGGCGGTGGTCTATCTCGGAGAGATGATCGTCAGGAGAAGTAGAGGGGGGGGGGGGGGGGGAATCTCGTTCTGTAGCATACCGGCGGCTTTGTTGCTCGCGTTTGCGCGCACTTCCTCGTATATATAAAGGAGGCGAAAGGAGAAAGTGTTTCGATACACACACATGCACGGCCGGCCAGGCGCACTCGTTTCGTGTGCAGAAAACGTACTCTACGAAAGTCACGGTTACGTTACAGAGCCTTGCCCCACGCGCGCGCAGAGGAAGAGGAGCATCGTCCCGCATGAACTCGTTTTTACGAGCTTCCGCCCGAATATCGCGCGCGTGTAATCAGCTTCTGCTCTGCCGTTTCGATGTATCCGCTTGCCTCCGGTCTACTCGTAGATCGAGGTGCTTGCCTACTGTACCGTCTCGTCTCTCGCACACGCCTCAAAGAAGTTGCCCCTGGCGCTCGCTTGTCCCAAACATTCGGCCAATTAACGACTCGCTCTTCTCTCTCACTCTCTCTTTCTTTACGCTCGCCAATAAATCCTCGGTGATGGACGACTCCGCTCCGCGCGAAACCTACCGAGCCGAGATTTAATCGCTGTTGAAGGCGACGATTTTATCCGCGTGCGGAACCCGCGACCCTTTGTCAAAATGACGCGGCCGCGATCGAGTAGCACGTTCGGCGCGCAAATGAGCCATAATGACGAACCGTTACGCCGGCTCCAGGAGAAAATGCTCGGGCGAGTTAAATCACTGTAATCGCGCGTCAGAGCGACCGAAACATGTTAATTTTCGGTTGCCTGCCCGCGCTAATGTGCGATGCGTGTATATCTTTCAGTCTCCTGCCATTTTCGGCGACGCCCGACGATTAACGACCTGTGCAGTCTCGATTTCACTCTCCGCGGCCTCTTAGCGTCGATTCGCGATAGACCTGACAGACGTTCTAGTTAATTGGACTCTTGTTTTTTGCGACGCTTGTATCTATTTATTCTATTCATTTCTACATGGAGATGGGGGGAGGGAATAATAAATTGAACGCGTGGTGTATACAAGAAAATGGATTCGATCGTGTGACGAACGACGGTGATAAGAAATATAAACGTGACGCAACGATGAAAAGTGCTACGATTGACATGTCCAACAGATTGTACAGCTGCAATATACAGCAAAGAACTTTCTTTTGCGAAAAAATCGCGTAATTTTGTTTTTTTTTTCTGCAAATTGCGAAACTCCAAAGAGAGAAGCATTACGACATTCATTCTTCGTTTTTTTCAAAATATATATTATCTCCCTACCTGACTTTCGTCCGCGGTCTTTAAACGGTTCGTTACATTATTATAATAAATTCGCGTGTATGATTTACAGTCGACGAAAATATGCCGATATTTTGTTGGAAGTTAACGGCCTTGCAGTTCCCGTCATGCTTGACCATAAACTTTTCTACCTTGAACGTGATCGGCCAGGCAGCACGCACTGGAAATCGTCGACGAGAAGGGAACTGGTTGCGGAACACTCCGCAGCTTTCCGAGATCGTTCTCGAAAGAAAAAAATGACGATTGCCGTTTAACGGTGCGTTCGCATAACGTTGCGAGCAAGTGTACGCGCGATCGCCAAAGCGTGATATTGCACCGAGTCTGCGCAGGCAGAGCGACCTACTTGATCGCGTTGCAAGCGCGAAGCTGTGTAAATTGACACGGCGCTATATAAGCGAACGAAAAGCTGCGCCTCCGGTGACACAAGGCGTGAACGCTCGCGCCACTGTCGCGGTAAGGAAGACAATCGTCGAGGAGAGCGCGTCCCGCCCCGTGACCTCGCCAAACCGATCGCCGGTATGAGCCAGGAAAGCGCATCGAATAAAAAATTTGCTTTCCCTTCGACGGCTTCATCCTCGTCGTTGGCGCGGCGCCGCAGCGCGAGCGTGGCCGCCAAGTGGAGAACGACGCGGAAGCTCCGACTTCCCGTGTTACGCGCCGAGGCCAATTAAAGATGTCGGCCATTTTCTCCGGCGCGCGAGAGATGCGGCGAGCAATAATCGCAATCGCTCGAATACATCGCTGCATCTCGGCAGCCGTCTACATCAATCGGCCATCCGATATCTCGCGTTCCGATCGCTGATCTTACTTCCCGACTGTCTCGAGCCGATTTCGGTTGCCTTTTCATTTTCCGAGCGAGCATCGCGACGGAGCACGCTTCAACTTGGATCGGACGAGATTATCTGCGCGCCGCTCGATTTTCATTTCGCGCGCACGTTATTCATTGTGCGCGTGCTGAATTGTTGCGGATTTTTCATTTTGCGTTTCGCTCGACAAAGAAAATAAAAACAACGACGTTCGGTGAAGGACTTTCACCGTTGATTTTCCGTTTGTTTGATTTTTTTTTTACTGTAGCTTCCACGTAACGATGTTTCTATAACAGTTTTTTGCGCACGACGCTCGCTCGCGGAATTCGCGTAAATGCTACTTTCCATAGATTCGCAGCTTATTAGTCATTGAGAGAGAGAGAGAGAGTGAAGCACTATTAACGTTTGACAATAATCAGCACTCGCAGTCACATTAAACGACGTTCGCGGATTAAAGCGAGACTGGTGGCAGCTGCAAGCGGTCGGATTGGTGATATAAAAGTTTGATATCGCGATATTGTTCAATAAAAGTGAAAGCATCGGCGTAAAAAGAGACGAAAAAAGAAGTAATTTGTCCCGAAACTCGTCTCTGCCGCGCGGCACACGTTCGACCTTGCCCCGCGCGGCGCGCTGTGGAAATCGAAAGTCCCGTTTTTTCTTCTCTTTGCTCAAGATGTGCCGCCCGTTGTCGGGAGAGAGACAGAAAGAGAGAGAGAGAGAGAGGAGGATGCAGCGCCGATTTTATGACAATTACTCGCAGGCTGAGCGAGTGTGTGCGAGAGAGATACGGATTACATAAGGTCTAGCCTTTTTCAGCGGATTTATGTTTTAGGAAAGTTTTAGTGGTTTTGTGTGATTGCGCAACGTCCAAGAAATTTTTACGAAACCTAACGCGCGATCGAGCGAATCCCACTGATTTTTCGGAATGCGTCGGCGCTCGTTCGAACGAACGTAGGCTAGGCGAGCAGTCGCATCTTCAATTTCGCCGCGCATCAATTTACTCGCGCAAAATGAAACGCCAATTGAGGAGCCGCGCGCGCGGGGCAGCATTGTCTCGTCAACGCGGTCGGATGCCTTTGATGAAACAATGACTAGTTTCGTTCACTCGACGACTCCTAGCGAGGCCGGAAACTCGCGCGAGTACGCATTAGGCGAAACCGCAGCGAGCTAATGACGCCGATTTGTCGGCGACGAAAACCGCAATGTTTGACCGTGGGCGGTCGGAAGCTCAGTGCGCGCGTCGCAACGCGAAACTCGCGAGAACGTTCGACGGCCTTACCTGCCGGCTGTGTAAGCTCCTCGGCCGTGTATCTCGCGATGGAGACGGCTCGGCGTCGCCGTCGTTACCTCATGACACGAGAAGGCTTGTCGCGCACAACAGATCACACACTGCCAACGGGTCCACCACTCACAATGTTGCGGGATACTCGGTGCGTGTGCGCGCGCGCTCCCGCGAGAGAGAGAGAGAGAGAGAGAGACAGGTACTTTGTATCGTAAGCGAGATGTAACTGGTTGGCAGCTCGCACGCGGTTCGCCCGAAGTATAAACTAAACTATGGGGAGCTCTCGGCGCTCGGGTCCCCCGCGCCGTTGCTGCTGCTCCTGCTGCTGCTGCTGCTGCTCCCAGCAGTGAAAGTATATTCTCTTCCGCGCGCGCGCTCGGCGTGCTGCCCCACACACACGTACACACAACCGAAGCCAGTTGGCCAACAGCTCGTCCCGTCCGTTCTTCCGCCACCCAAACGTGACAGTACTTCGGACGTGGACGCGTCGAATGGTGAGCGCGATGCCGCTTGCCTTTGATTTTAAGCGCTGGACTACGTGACTTTGTCGTGACGGGCTCTTCCATTCTGGGAAATCGACTTTGACACGCCTCCGAGACTCTTAGATTCGTTAGAAAAGCCAACTCACCGCTGCCTCCCACTGATATTTCAAGTTTCATCAGCGGGACTCGCGCACGAGAGAAGAAGTATCCCACGCTCGTGCGCCCGATTTACGCCGAATATCCGCCGCCCGGATTTCGTTTTATTTGCCAGCAGCACTGCATTCGCCATCGATTAAGATTCGAGTCAAGCCAATCATCGCGCGCACGTCCTCGAAAGCAGAGAAACACCTCTTCGCCGTGATAAATCGCCGCTTTAAATTATTCCGTCAACGTAATTAACGTTCGCGTCGCGCTCGGCGAGCCAGTTTCCGAGCGCGCGAGAGCGTTATCGCGATCGCATCGAGATAAACACAATAAACGCGAATTTACAGTCCCCACTGCGGATAAATCACCTGGCGGGAAAGAAGTAAAAAAGCGAAGGAAGGAGCGCCGAGTGACTTGGCGCGCGACCGACGAGGTGGGCAAATTGAAAGACTCGCGCGCACGATCGATTAGAAACGTTGTCCGTCATACTGCCGGAGTGGACTTCATACCGGGCGCCCGCATCTGCTGTTAACTCCTTATCTCGTCTAGCACCAAGTTTCACTGTGTATATTCACGTGTGGCCGTGCAATTCACTTTCGATTCGAATGCGCTTGTAAGGCCGCTGAAGGAGACGTGAAAAAGCTCTTCTGCTAATCGCGCGCTCCATAGAATTTTTCGTCGACGCGGCCTAATTGCGTGATATTGCGAAAAACTTTGACCGCGGTTTCTCCTACTCGCACACCTCCTATCCCGTGGCATAATCTGAAATGCTTCGCGAATTTTTCCCTTGGACGCCGTGGAAGAAATACTGCCTATCATAATACACCAAGAAGCAAATAAATTAACAAAAGCGAATCAACCGCGCCGCTTGATAATTTCAAATGAGGCGGGAGATCAAATTAATCGCGACTCCTTTGGATATTTATAATGTAGAAAGTGCTTTGAAGCAATAGCATGCGCGCGATTTTCGATTTATAGGTTCTCTAATACAACTATTTTTGAAAATGATCATCGAGGAAACCAACGAAACTTAACGTCTTGTTCGCGCCAATTTGTCAAGGCGATTCGACTAAGTTACATCGTTCGATCTCATCTAATCGATGCTATTTCTTCGCGCGAAGATCACATCGTGCATTGTTCTCGATGTCAAAACTGCGAAAGTGCAGCAACGTTTACGTCAGGTTCGCTTCCGGCATAATGCGTTAATTCCAGAACAACGTCGTTACCAGCCGATAATTACGGGACTTACGTAAGAATGACAGCTCGAGCGCATTAACATAAATGATGTTTTTTTCCGCAGGTCTGACTTTCGTTCCTATACCGATTACACATCGACGTTCGCGCATAGCTGAGAATACGTGACGCTCGACACGTCTTTTTGCGTATACCTGGTAAGAATTTTTTTTCCGGAACGCGACAAGAACGAACTTTTTTCAAAGCTATTTATTCTTAGATTTTTGCTTTCTTTTTCGTTTGCTCGATACTCTATTTGCCCAGGCTTGTTTTACAGAAAAGTGTTACTTTCGTTGGATGCTGTAAGCACGGTGCTTTCTCGCGGACGTCTGTTTCGAGTGTTGACAGCTGTACGCTACGCTTTGACGCTGGTTTTTCGGGACGTTCCGGATCAGTAATTCACGACGACGCTCGATAAAATTCATCGGATCACATAAATAAAGTCGCTGGCGAAGAATCGAATCGGCATATAAACTCTGAAATATACATACTTTCAAGTGTTGAATCACAAAGAAAATAAGGTGTCATCGATTTTTCCTTGTTTTCTCACAGAATTCGAGAATTGGTAAGAACCAGAATTCAATTTTTTTTCTTTCACGAACGTGCTCGTTAACGGAGTGCACTTTTCCTATCCCCTTTAGTTATCTATTATCTGGAAGTGCTTGTAAATTATTTTCTTCTCTCGGTCGAGCGAAAACTATTCGATAGATTGTTAGCGTTAGTTTGCAAAGCTAACGCGCACCAAAATAATCGTTTTCACTCCGCCGCAATATCACGATCAGATAACTGTGAGCGTATTGTTCAAAGTTAGTGTGCAGAACGTTTATATCTTTGATTAGCAACACACAATGAGTGATTTTTGTCAATTGTCTAGCTCCTTGTATACTGATTAGGTCGCCTGACTGATTGATCTATTTGTGAAACCTCGTAAGCCTTCGAACTTATTGGTTTGGTTTTTTATTGCAGAGTCACGATTACTTACGATGTGATTATTTTGAAATAACTTCCAATTGTACTCTCCAATTAGTTTTTTATATGCCTTCGAAGAGATTCACAGAGAAGACTGTTTATTTTATTTTTGTCACAAGAGAGCGCGATTCAACAACAATGCTTTATTCCGCCTGAAACGACGTGCAACAAGACGCTTCTCGCGTGCGTATACATCATATGTAAATGAAGCTTTCGTTGGCGATCGCTCGCGGTTGATGGACACGCGCTTTCTTACTTCCTCCGGCCTTCAATTTTTCTGCAAACAGCATTGCCCTAAATGCAGATCGCTCTCGGTTATATGTTAGTTTTAGAGATCGGACTTTCAGCGATTATTTCGTTCGATGTTTTAGTTTTCTCGAACGTCTTTTCTAAGAAACTGAATGTAATTTTCGTGAAACCGCGCAGAGAACAATAGAAATGACAGTGGAAGGTCCTTTCCCCAGATCTCGACGACCTCGAGCCACCGGCGCAATACGAAAGTTCACGGCTGATTAATCTCTGCGGTGCATTATCGAGAAGCCCATAAAGCCGTTGACGTCGTGGTCGCCGTTCCCATTCCTGCACTTCAGCATCTATTCTTTAGCCTTGGCATCTGTCCGCTATCTAATGCCAATCCGACGGAATATCCATCTACGTGAGCTTCCGCGGAAAGGGTTGATGACGAGCGGAGCTGTTGGCTTTCTGTTTACTTGAAAATTCCGTGGCACGTCCGCATCAAGAGAGTGCTCACTCTCAGGCAAATCGTTAACTTACCTCACTCCACTCGTTTGCTTTCTTAATAGCGATCTTTATCGCTCCTAAGCGGAATACGAAAGTGTCAAGTGATTTTTCGTGCCCAAATCGGTAGGTTGCCAAGAACATTCCGACGAGAAGTTAATACTCTTTTCACGAGGCCGTGCCGAAGAAATTCCAAAATTTCAATGGTTCGTTCTTTCGTCACGCGCGCGTTCTTTCGTTTGGGAAACCGAAAAAGCAAATGAAATGAGAAAAGAATAAAATGAAATAAAGAAATAAAACACTTTCCTCGTCCATCGTACTAAAATCCGAATGTGGCGTCGGGCGCGGTTGCGCTTTCGCCGCCACCGAGCGCACTAAAATTTGACCGAGGCGCGTCACGGATCGGTGCCGGCCGAAAAGCCAATTTCACTACTTTGCATGATAAAACACAGTCTGCCTGGCAATTTCATTTCATTTGCGATCGTCCATTTTTCTTTATTCCATACTTCCACTCAGATCAATGGAGAATAGTTCGGGACCCGAGGATCATCCATCGCGATTGAACATTCGCACCACCACGTGTCTCTGACCGAGTGATGATTCGTCAAAACGCTTCGTGATCGGTTCACACGATGAGCACACCTCTGCTAGGTATTACGTGAGTTATTCTGCGAAGAAGATTCCAGAGGATAATCGATCGAGATCTACCTTGGATGCAAGCTGGATGATCATCCTCTCAGTCTGAGGCTCTCAAGCTGTTGTTAATCAGTTTCGCGTGGAATCAAATTAATTAATCCGCGAGAGGAGAGAAGCAAATCAACATCGAGTGGGTAATCCGTTATAAAATTAACAAAAAGAAAACGAAGCATAGTAGTACATACGTCGAAGCTTAATAACTCGTGAACGATAATTAAAAAGCGTGTACGAAGCTGGGAGGTTAAAAACGAAAGTAACTCGGAAATGCATTTTTTTTATCTTACGCGCGGTTATTTTCACTAACGAGGACGACACTTTCGCGAAAAGAAGAACCATCGTTTCTCTCTCTCTCTCTCTCTCTCTCTCTCTCTCTCTCTCTCTCTCTCTCTCCCTCTCTTTCGTATCAAGCGTAACACAGAGATTCCCTCGGACTTTCTTCCGCGGCGGTTATGTGCACGCGCGTAAGCTTACTTTCGATTAAATACATACGCTAACGAATGGATTACGCGTTGCTACTTAGAGGTGTGCCCGTATGCGTATTGGATTTATTCGTTCGGCGATACGTCGGACGTGAAATTACGCGCGCAAGATATTCGTTTTCTGGGAGAATACAATGGAAGTATTGCACGGCGTCGAGGCGCTAAAGTATCTCGAATGAGAAAGTCTGTCGAATAATTCTTTTATTTATTTATTTTTGTAATACGGTGGCTTTATAAGCGTCTGACTTTGAAATTAACTTTTTTACGACGGCAATCAGAATAAACTTGCGGTACGGTCATAACTTTCATCGCGATACTTTTGCCGCTCGACAACTCACCTGCGGAATTCCGTAACGACGGTGTAGCATCTTCCATTGAATATCAACATTCGATGATGTATGGCTCATCGATTAATTATGCCATGCGACGGATAGTCGTACGTGTCTGCTTTGCGGTATTGAAACTTTAAGTCGCTTTTAATAAGAGGGTATTCATATAGTTCAATTGCAAGTTATTAACGTTAACGAGGATATTTTATGAAAGATTTCTCGCGTGTACTCCGAAATGAATATCGAAGCATCACGGTCGTAGCGTCGTGAGGCTTCAATACGTCGAAGGAGGCAATTTTCCATGGTATTTTAATGGTTCGCAGCCTTTATTGGCGCGAGAGATTGAAGACACTACTTTGCGTCACGAAGTTCTTACACTGCCTCTAAGCCGCGTGTGCAAGTGTAGATAATATTAAACAGCCGCGCGCCGAAGACACAAAGTGTTGCAAATGCATTTTCAAGCACATATAATCACACTCACTTTTGCGAAACTCGACTCGCCAATTTATCTATCAGTTGCGCAAGGAAAAATAAGAAGATGATGTTAGAGTCCCGGTGAGCTGTATACTCGTAGGAAAGGAGGACGTAAAAGCGCGAATTATCGATCAACCGCGCGCGCGTTTTCTAGTGTCCTTTCCAGAGCCTGCGCGGTGGGTCGCTGCACTCGCTTCGCGAGACGACACACGGAAGTCTTACTTGGCGCAAATGACGTGCACTGCAGTCGATATATATCGCGACCGATGTACGATTGCTCGCATGCACACGCGCAGCAGCGAGCGCGTCTTTTGCCCGCGAGAGAGTATAGTGACACAACTCGTGAGTTTATATCTGTCGAGTTGGACATTGATCGAAAGTCGCATTTTTTTATAATCTTTTATTAGATCTACCATAATTGTTGTGATCGTTACTAATCTACACATAAATAGTAGAAAAATATAAAAGAATTCGCTTGGAAAATAGAAAATTTGATATACAAGTTGGTGTATGCGCTAAATTCCATATACAGTTTCTATTTACAGACGACTATGAGAGTCGACATTTGAAAGCCAATCTCGGTCCGCCACGGCCGCATGTTGCTATATACGTCAGCTTTGCAAAATTTCGAGTTAAACAGACTTTCTCTCAAACAAAGGCTCGCTTGTAAGCTCAAAATATTACATTCAATAATAAAAATTGTTTACATGCGAAATTTGGCTTTGTTGGAATGACACTGTCGATTCCTAACGTTTCTCGTTACTTCAGGCATGGGCCGATTTACTTTCGATGATGTATGTCGATGCATCGATGTATGATGTACTTCGATGTATGTCGAAACGTATTCATATGGTATCTTTCGTCGATTTGAAATTCATTTGAAGTTACAAGTACAAAAGATTTTGGTAAAAATTTATTATCCTTGGCAATTTATTGGGAGAAAACTCGAGCATTTTCTTAGTAAAGTGAATACAAAATTTATGCAAATCTAATACAATATTGATGAAAAAATTTGTCGTCTCGCAAAAAAATACAAAATATCTCCCTATACACATATCATTAGTGTATATTACAATGATTTTAAGTAAACTCCACCAAACATTAATAAAATTAGAGATATATAAAAATTACAATATGACTATTTGTTATTTTAACGAAAAATAAATAACAATCTCAGCATCGTATCATAACAAGTCGTAAAGTCAACATAATAACAAAGCTCATCGCGCCAAACAATTGCATGATATCATCGTAACAAGTGATAAAAAAAATAATAAATAGTCTGTAAGCACATCATACGTCAGTCTCATACTCGCGACACAATTTTATACGCTACCTACCAGCATGCCTCCTTGTTTCTCTCCGAAGCATCTTCCAATCTTCTTTAATCATATCGCTAGCTTTCTCGCCGATCATAATGACCGGCGCATTTGGATTGCCACTGACGATCTCCGGCATGATGGATGCATCTACCACTCTGAGACCCTTGACACCATAAACCCTGAGTCTGGAGTCAACCACAGCGGTAGGATCACTGTTTGGTCCCATTTTGGCTGTGCCGGTTGGATGATAAATAGTAAAAGTAAAATGTCTGATAGCGCACTCCCAGTAATCGTAAGTGTCAAAAGGATACTTTTGGCAGCCGGGCATTTTGATGGTTAACGGCCTCGAGCCGAACCTCTGGAATGCCGACGAGTTGGATACTTGCATGGCGATGCGTATGCCGTCGACAAGTATGTCGATGTCCTCCTTGTGAGTGAAGTAGTTGGGCACGATTTCCGGATAGATCATGGGATTCTTGCTCTTCAGCCTTATCCATCCGGAACTTTTGGGCCTGAGCAGCAGTGGCAGTATCGACCACGCCTCGGCATTCTGTATGGGCTTGTACATCGTGTTGTACACGCTGTCTCTCAAGCCCGTTATTTTGCGGATATTGTCGCCGGCGTCGGAGCTGATGGAGCTCGGAGCAAAATGGAATTGCATGTCCGGCCAGTCGATCGAGGGATCGGCGTACCTCGTGTTGACGAAGGCCAAACCCTCGACACCTTGATTGGTCATAGGACCGCGCTCGTTGAGAATATACTCGAGCGCGACGGACGGCGACTGAAAGCGATCCTTTTTGAACGTGATGGGCTCGTTCACCAGAAACGTCAAGCCGCCCAGACCAACGTGATCTTGCAAGTGGTCGCCGACTCGTAGATCGGCGAGCACCGGAATGCCCATCTCCTCGAGGTGTTCTTTCGGCCCGACACCCGAGACCATGAGCAACTGAGGTGAACCTATGGCACCTGCCGATAATACCACTTCTCTTCTGACTCTCGCGTGTTGTACGCGACCGCCCCTCGTGAATTCCACTCCCGTGGCACGCTTGTCCTTGTTGAAAGTCACTTTGAGCGCTTGAGCTTTCATGGCGATGTGCAAGTTCGCTCGGTTGCGTATCGGTCGCAGAAAGGCTTTAGCAGTCGAGCATCTGCTTCCACGCCGAATGGTAGCTTGCGTGAGCATGAATCCCGTTTGATTGGCGCCGTTGATGTCCCGATTGTCGTAGCCTAACTCTGCGCCAGCCTGCAGGAATGCGATCGACAATGGCGTTCGCCAGGGTGTCTCTTGCACTGTCAGGTAGCCACCTGTCCCGTGGTAAGCGGTTCGAGCCAGATATGGATTGCGGTTGTCCTCCGATTTGATGAAGTAGGGCAGCACGTCGTCGTACGACCAGCCTGGATTGCCTAGACGTTCCCAGAGGTCATAGTCCAGCCTGAAAATTTATTTGTTTCATTTAGATTGGTGGAAATTTATGACGCATAAAATTAATATATTGTGGTAAAAATGAATATCTAGATGCGATAAAATACGCTGATTTAATGCTTTTTCTTCTGTTACAGGTACGTTGGAAATTTCGACTCTACACCGTAGTTTGTTCAAAACGCATTGGATGGTAAGTGATAATAGCCTCTTCACCGAAACTCGACAAAATAAGCCAAAATAAACTCAAAATCTGAAATACACCGTTTATTTGGCGTAAGCTACGCGGTGTATTCGCTTTACGTCATTCGTGGACGCGCGCGTCGTGCAAGAATTCGTTCATCTCGCGCGCGCAAAGGTCTGACCGACGGAGCCCCCTCGGAGAAGCTTGAGCTTCGGTACCTGTTGCCACGCACGTAGACCATGGCGTTTAGAACGCTCGAACCGCCGAGAACTTTGCCGCGCGGCCAGTTGCAACGGTCGCCGACCATTGCCAAGCAGTAAGGTGAATTTGTCGGCGGCGCCGTCTGATACATCCAATCCATCTCGGACAATTGCAAATAGCCGACTAATGCCGGCACGTCGGATACCTCGTTTTCATCGCCTCCGGCCTCGATTAGCAGCACTTTCCAGTCGGGTATCTCGCTCAGACGATTGGCCACTACTGCACCGGCTGAACCACCGCCCACCACGATGAAGTCGTACGTCGATAGTAGCTGGACATTTTCAAGTTCGAACGTCAATTGCGCTTTGACGGAAAGCTATATTTTCCGTGATTTTTCAAAGTGGCGCATAGAAATGATTTTGACGCTTCGCAAACGATTTTCAAGCGATCGATAATAATAAGCAACCTGTCGCTGATCGATTGGATGAGTCTCGGGGTCGATGCTGTTGTAGCGCATCATGGTGAAACCAATGCCGAGCAGCGGTATGAGGGTCCAGCCGAGAAAGGCTGCTGGCAGGGTGAGTCCGCTCATCTCTTTTCCTTGTTGTTCTATCGCGCCAGCGCTGTGCGACCACCACGCACTCGCGCGCCGCCTCAACAGTCATGCGGCCAGCTTGGCTTCTATCTGCTGCTTCTGCTGGAAAACATAGCAGAGGCATCAATTGCGTGCGGTTGCTGGATTAACTTAATTTACATCGGGATGCGTCGATTTCTCGTTAAAATCGCTTATTCCTAGTTTTTAATGAAGCAAGTACGGATTTTATTGCTAGAAACCAGCGCGCTTTTGTTTTCTTGTTTAGCTTGAGCAATCGGTTTCCCAGGTGCGCCCAAGTCGCAGTGTAACTCGTGCTGGGAAAGATTGTTACAGTCGCATTGCTACACTTTTGCTCCCGGCAAAAACAAAGCATAAATCGCGCGCGAAACACGAGCGATGTTTTAATGCGATGGTCAAAAGTCAAAAAGAGGTGGAGACAGTGAAAGGCGTCAAATATTATTCTGCAAAGTGGCAGTGGCATCTCCCGCCACGTAGATAGTACATAATGCCACGTTTGCAAACCCATCAATTTTCTCGTCAAATCAGGCAGACGTTTCGGGATTGATACTTATCCGCGTCCGACGACAACGTTTAAGTGCGAAAGAAGGAGAGAGAAACTAATTGGAACCGTTAACATGCTCGATTTCCATCGCCGTGACACCTGCACACCGCCAATTTCAGCTCCGTGTAAACAGAGCCAGAGATGTGCTTTTTCTCCTTCGTCCGAGGCCCACTTTCCGCTGAGATGAGAGTCCGGTCTACTTTCATCTCCGTCAGCGCGAACGAATGCGCGCAGGTACCTCCGACGTGCACGTCACATTGTGGTGCGGTCATGCTGTCACGTGTCTTATTTAATCAAGCTTGCTATTTTTAACTATTGTCGGTGAAAAATTGATGTCATTCCTTCGGGAGGCTCATTGTTCTCGAATGCAAGTAGGCTACAATTTGAGCTCAAATCTAGTGAGCGCCGGAGAAAATGTCTCGAGTTAATGCCTGCATTCTTACGGCTATTACACTGTTGATGGTGCGAACGATGAGCAGTGCTTTACCTATAATCTACGTATGAAGTGTCAACGCCCTCGTACACGTTCATTTTCTTTTCAACGCGTTGATACGCATTAGCTTTCAGATGTGCGACGGATCATAATAAAATCGATAAGGCATTTCTTTAAAATGACCGAAAGGTTAAAGTGAAAATTGTATCGGTTGACGTACGGACAATCGAGTTCGAGTCGCAGATATTTTTCGCGTATATTGTCGAAACCACGCGGAGAAAGTACTAGTCTGTTGATGATAAAAAAAAGTATCTCTCTCTTTTGTGAATATTTAATGTGAAAGTTCAAAAGTAAGGACATTTGCATTTCGCGGCGGAGGCCAACAACGATTTCGATTGCAACACCTCGTGCGCAGAGACGCCGTCGAATGCCGCTAGCGGACTCGCGCGCGCGTGCAACGAGGCGTACCGCTGCTTTATCCGCGACGCGCGGCTAGCGAAAAGCAAAAATCAGACGAAAGAGGCACTCACCGTACGAACGCGCTGAGCAGCGAGGAGACCTGGCGAGACGAGCGAGCGAATCACGACATCGTGGCTTTTCGGAGAGCGCCTGAAAAGTTTCGCGGAGCGTGACGCCGCGCGCGCACACTGCCGGCACACTGCGCCGCGCACCGGGGGAAAAGCCATCGAGGCAGCGCTGGCGAGAGGAGGTAGACGCACTCGCGTACGCGCACTCCCTCTTTCGCGTGCGACGCGGACCCACGCACGCGATTTCTTCTTCTTCGTCGTCGTCTTCCTCCGTTTGCTCTTGCCACGAGCGTGCTTGGCTGTCGGAATTGCTCGTGCTCACCTGCACGTAGCTACGAGTTTGCTGGATTTTCGCCGGAACCGGTCGCCTTAAATTTTTTCTCTTGTTTCGGCTGTCCGGCTGAGCTCTCGCGCGATGCTTTTTTTCACATTTGCTCGCTCGTGCTCCACTGTTCGTTCATCATTGATTGGTTATTGAACAGAATCCGTGCTGTCCGTCGATTGATCGCACGCCGGGAACTGCACAATCAACAGTCGCCAATTGCTGCATATTGCGCAAGCTCAATCAATTACTACTGATGGTACATGCCACAAGATTCAACGTACTATAAATTAACCGCATACCACTGTCGCTGTTTCTCGTCAAGCGCTCTATGAAGCGACTCTGAAATGTAAAAAGACGCGACGAGTTCCGTCACCCGTCTCGAGAAGTAATGTGCATCCGATACCGTTTTGTCGGCACTTTAAATGTGCGCGTTCGCTTCTTCCGCGAATAAATAGATCCATAGCTTCTTGACGCAATTGGCTTGAGAAGGGATCGCGAAATTTCGATTAAACGCAGAGCAACGCAATAACATTTCTCAATGGCAATCGATCGTAGCCACCGAAGGACAGCAAAAAAACTTACACTCGTTCCGTCCGTAAAAATTCAAATACCAGCAGGTGATCGTTGGTGCAACGAATGAGGGCAAAAAAAAATGCCGTGTACAGTCGATACACATTTTCACTCTACGTTCGCCTACATTCTGATCGAGCAAACGCGAGCATAAAAGCGCGCGATCTTTGCAACAAAATGTTGGACAGTCGGAGAAATCGAATACAATTATACACCTCTTTTCACTCCGCTAATAGATTTTCAGAAATCATGAGCGATAGTGATGCCTTGATAAAACTCGTACCGCCCACGATGCTACCCTTCGGAGTCGCCGAGCTCGGTCCAATCTGTTCTCTCTCTCTCTCTCTCTCTCTCTCTCTCGCTTCATGTACCATCGACAAGCATTCCGTATAGCTTTGTTATATAGCCCGTGACATAAACAGATCAAGGTGGCGAGATTTATTATCGAACGATCTTCTCGCGTGCTACAACGAAGTTGTGCAGTACGATTCGAAGAAAGTTTAAACTTTCAATTTTCACTTGCTCCGTCTAAATTCGCTCCGAAGCCCCGAGCAGATCTCAGCTATGAGTAGTGAAGACCAACAGATCTAGTGTAAGTCAGTAGTCTCTATATTTCGGTAGCAACTTTCAAACTTTCACACGAAAAACACTTGCGCGCGCGCGCGCGTGTGTGTGTGTGTGTGTGCGCGCGTGTGTGTGTGTGTGTGCGCGCGCGTGTGTGTGTGTGTGTGTGTGCGCGCGCGTGTGTGTGTGTGTGTGTGTGTTTGTGTCTGTGTGCATGCAATGTTAATTTAATTTTCGAATCCCCTGAATTAGTGAAAGTTAATTTCACTTTTGTTTATTATTCACGCGTGCAACAATGTCTGATTTTTTTTTCGATTAAAAAGTTGATTGATTCGAACTAGATGACGATTCACGTCTTAAAAATGTCTACTAGACAGCTGTCTATAATATTTTTATAGGTTGCACACAACTTTCTCTTGACATAATCGATATAATTTACATCTTTTCACGTATTACTGAAAATCATTTATTACTCAAGCCATTATTATATAAAGCAATTCCATTTTTCAATTAATACAGTGGCAATAAAGATCTTAACAACTATAACGTAAAAACCAATAAATAATTACACTTTGTAAAATCTTATTATTCCCAAAAAGAAACTCAACCAATCAAAATCTATACATACATCCGAGATTGCGTTATCAAAATCTAATATACTTCAATATGTTTTTAATTTGACTAAACTATTGAGTCATCCTGGCCATTTAAACTTCATTCAACTTGAAAGAAAGTTAAGGGATCAAAAATTCTGTGGAGCATGACATTTGTAATCAATAGTTAAGATGCCGTGATTAGTCGCATTAGATCTCGTCGGTACTTCTACAATGACTCGAAATTGTAAAGTTCGAGAGCACATTTTTTTCAACTTTCACTGATGGCTATGCGCAGGGCGTTTAATTGTATTCGTTTCTATTCCATGCTCTCACTTACACAGTCGATACGCAACTTCCGTTTGGAGTATCAAATAATCGAAATATATTGACTCAGGATGACTAATAATAAGCAGAGCGATCGGAAAACGGGCCAGAAGAGTCTCTAACACTGCGGAAAGATTACGACTGATGAAAGCTCGCGACCGCAACGTACATCGACTCGTGTAATACATCAGAGTCCGCGATCTCTCGCGCGAAGGGAGAAAAGACAAGTCACGACTGCTAACACGTGAGGTAATATCCCATAACGAGCATGTGTGCTCTCCGTACTTTCTCTCTTCCAATTAATCCCCGTGCTTTTTCGGGCGGCGACCTTGGCACTTTTTCCCCCTTGTACGAGTCATAAGGTCGAGGTTGGTATGTAGCATCGTGCCGCGAGTGAAAGTCGGGAAGGAAAGCATTGCTCGAAGACGAGGCACGTTGCACGTACACACCCGCGTACGCGAAATGTTTGCGTTTGTGCCTCGCGGGCTCTTGCGTGCGTTGCGTCATTGCGTGGGAGTCTAGGATGTGTCGATTGCTACAAGTCATTGGCGTAATTTGACGATTCTATTAGTCGAGAGCACCTCGGGACAACGAGGTACAAATATGGTGACACGAATTGTAACAAATTTCTTTTCGAAAGTTTTCAAGAAAAGTGAACTCCACATAACAATGCCGTATATTATTCCAGGCAGAGCAGGAAATTCGATATTAATTTAAAAAGAGCTTCTTTGAAATATTGATAAAATTATGGAAATGAAGATTGATTCGAGGGAGCATTAAAATGATAACCAGCTGGAAAATCGTTGGTCGAGTGAAATACCGATGACGTGACTGGAATTAACATCGCCGGTGCGCTGCAAAATTAGAGAGCTTTTCTCCTCATTCGCATACAACAGTGAGACGCTCGCCCACTCATACGCATACGAAATTTCAAAAGTTGTTTTCGGCATTCTTCAATAATGTGAACTTTTCGCTGCGCCAATTACAAAAGTGAAATATTTGTATAGCTTGGGAATGCGCGCTTGCACTCAAATAATAATTAGAAACAAACAGTTCCAGCGCGTTCGTAGTTGCTTAATAAATGCTTTCGAATATGTTAGCAAGATTAAGTTATCATTTGAATTTACATCATCTTGGTGCGTAATTGCTAGTGAAGATTAACTGTTAATTGATATTTCCTTCTCGGCGAAACTACCAGATAAAGAAAAAACTTCACTCGTATAATGTAGTTTATAAAATGCACGGTCGCATCCTTAGTAAACTATTCAAACACCTCGTCAACTATAAAAATGCACTTATAGATCTCTTACTTTCACTCTTTTTCAAGTCACACTTGAAAAAGCACTTATGTCGGTGTATTATCTCTCGAGTGCTAGTCTTACCGATCTTGCGTGAGATATCTTAGCGATTCTTACTTTCACTTCTAGATCGCGCCTGTTTCGTGGATTATGACCATGCTCGATCGATAATTATTGGTATATCAGATTGAAAAAAATATACGTGAAAAAGTACACATACAGCGAACTCTATCACAGCGTGGATGACTCCAGTTGATTATTATTTAATCATAATATTTTTTATTGTTTATTCAAAAAAATCAATTAAAGTCTGAACTTTGATTTCCCAATTGTATAATTAAACTTACTTATATCGACGGTATGTATGATGAAATTTACATTATGAGTTTATAGTAGTAAACTCTATTTCAAAATGTAGGATGTTTCTCAAAATCTTAAACATTTGTCAAACTCAGCACGAAAATGTTCCGCTTAATATTTCTAAATGTTTCGTAAAACCGGTAGAACCGGCAACAAAACCAATTACTTGTCGGTACACACATCTATACAACACAAAAATATTCGCTGTCGCAATGTCTTAGAAATATTTCTTTTCGTGCACACGTACCTCTTGTCTCCCGCCGGTAACAATATAGAAATGTCGTTACGGTAAAAGCTGACTGATGGCTTGACAGTGACAGCGGAGTTTGTTTCCATTGAAGATAAGCGAACTAGACAGTGATTCGAAAATTCTTGAAAAAGACGTGAGAAAGTTCTTTTTATGTTTTTCAAGTAAACGTACTTACAGACACATAAAATAGTCGTAACATTAGTAATAAATATTTTTTCATGTGAAAACATTTTTCAATTCATAGCTGTAGAACAATACAACCTGTAATACTTTTGTTAATATTTTTATAACAATTGTTAATATTTTATATAATAATTCTAAATATACTTGCAAAAGAAAAATATTTTCTTGATAAAAGTATCTTACTTTCTTTTTAATTAAAAAACATTAGGTTGGAAGAGTTGACTAAACAGTAAACTTCAATATTTTCAAAATAAAATTAAACTTCAGACTTGAAACATTTCACAATGCAAATGGACTATCAGATTTATATTCCTCGATTTGAATGCTTACTCGGGCACACGCGAAGATTGAGTCCTTTCATTTCCGCATCATGGGCCGCGCAGCTCATATGTAGTGCACTTTCAAAATATAAAGTAGGATCGTGTGTACGCTCGGCAAGTTTAACTCTGGAGATCTGCTTAAGATACATACACTTGCTACTCTTTCAAAGTCTTTTTGTGGCCACGATGACATCTTGATAAACTGTTATTTTTATACGACAAAATATTTTTTAGAAACGCTAATTACGCGATAACAAACATCTCTTCGAGATAAGCACGTAGCCACGTTTAATGGCGACTTGCTTAGTGCGCAAGTTACTCTACGGCAATGTGAAT